GAAATGAGTGAAGGGAAGTAACCCCAGATAGGGCCTTGATACATGAAGTCCTTATGGAGGGGGATTCCCCTTCCAAACAATAACTTCTCCTCCTCCCTCTCCCCTCTTCGCTGTCTTCCATACGCCAACAAGAGTCTTCAATAAAGGTAAAAGTGATGTTAAATGTTCATTTAGCCATTTCATTAGTCATTTATATTTATTTCTCATTGTTTTCTGTATGTAAAAATATAGTTATTCTCTATAAAATGTATTTTTTGTTAATATGTTTGGGTGTCTGGATGGATTAATTGGATTTAATTTGGTTTTCGTCTGACTTTTTCGAACGGATTAATCACGAAAACCGAAGTTCCACTGTATAAGGGAAGTGCAACTGAATCATCATTTGATTATGATGTGTTAAACAACAGACATTCAACAACAAAAGGAAAAAATGGGAAAAAGAACTTACTACCAGAATACCAAACAAGGACTGGGAAAATATGTGGAAAAATCACCAAATTACCAGTTCACATGCATGGAAGGAGATTTCCTAGAACCACTTGATTAGATTTTTTTAATCACACTGAAGATAAAGAGTAAACATATGAAAACGAACATTATGTGGTGGAGAGAATATGGATCTGGGAATAGCCAAAGATAATCACATTCTGGGAAACGGTATATAAAACAATGGCAAAATATTAGGATATCTTGTTCCTATGGACATCCATTTACTTTATTTTTTGTAACTTTATATATGGCCCCATATAATGGTGAAAATATTAATAGTAGCCTGTAAAATGGCTATAGCACAGAACAGGGCAAGGTCCATCCTCCAGCTCAGGAGCAGTGGGTACAGATTGGCGAGGTTCAGCATCATTAGTCCGTACCAAACTTGTCCGCCTGCCCGCGTGACTCGGCCACTCATTTTCCATTAGAAATGAGTGAAGGGAAGTAACCCCGGATAGGGCCTTGATACATGAAGTCCTTATGGAGTGGGATTCCCCTTACGAACAATAACCTCTCCTCCTCGCCGTCTTCCATACACCAACAAGAGTCTTCAATAAATGTAAGAGTGATGTTAAATGTTCATTTATCCATTTCATTAGTCATTTATATTTATTTCTCATTGTTTTCTGTATGTAAAAATATAGTTATTCTCTATAAAATGTATTTTTTGTTAATATGTTTGGGTGTCTGGATGGATTAATTGGATTTAATTTGGTTTTCGTCTGACTTTTTCGAACGGATTAATCACGAAAACCGAAGTTCCACTGTATAAGGGAAGTGCAACTGAATCATCATTTGATTATGATGTGTTAAACAACAGACATTCAACAACAAAAGGAAAAAATGGGAAAAAGAACTTACTACCAGAATACCAAACAAGGACTGGGAAAATATGTGGAAAAATCACCAAATTACCAGTTCACATGCATGGAAGGAGATTTCCTAGAACCACTTGATTAGATTTTTTTAATCACACTGAAGATAAAGAGTAAACATATGAAAACGAACATTATGTGGTGGAGAGAATATGGATCTGGGAATAGCCAAAGATAATCACATTCTGGGAAACGGTATATAAAACAATGGCAAAATATTAGGATATCTTGTTCCTATGGACATCCATTTACTTTATTTTTTGTAACTTTATATATGGCCCCATATAATGGTGAAAATATTAATAGTAGCCTGTAAAATGGCTATAGCACAGAACAGGGCAAGGTCCATCCTCCAGCTCAGGAGCAGTGGGTACAGATTGGCGAAGAAATGTATCTGATGGAAAACTTTACATATATTGTGAGACTGCAACAACCCTGAACCTTGTATATGTTCTTGGAAAACAGTAAAATCTAAAGTTACAAAAAAAAAAATTCAGAACAAAAGTCCTGGGATCAACATTTCCAGATATAAAGCAGAGAATCACTTTACAAGCATGCCTGGGAGGTATGTGATTTAACTACCAAGGATTCTATGTGTACTCAGTGGGACATAATGTTACCTTGGCTGTCTCTTGATTTAGCTTTAACAAAATCTTAATGATTCCAAGCACAATCAAATGAACCTTGTCTGGTTCAAGGTGTTCCTTAAACAGAAATGTGGTTACTATGAAACCCTGTACAGACTTTGCCTTAAGTAGAACATGGTTGGACATCACTGCTACTGATTACAGTAGTAGTACACTGTTACAACTGAGCTGTCATACCGCCACCAGAATACACACTCATTTGCCAGTTTATTAGGTACACCAAGCTAAGACTAATGTGAACTAATACAACAATACTGATCATTTCTACCTTTATGACAGTAAACTGTTAATTAAGCTTTATGGTCATTGTGGCTGTGTTCTGTGGTGCTGCCAGGATTATGCTGAGATGCATCAACTATTATTAGCTTTACTATACTTAATTAGTTTATGATTGGTGTTCTTGATTAAATGAGTGTACTATGTAAACAGATCAACTTTAAAAGGAACACTTTCTTAGTCAGTCTAAACAGAGGTGACTGAATTTATTTGCTGTCCTTATTTTGAAAATGTTACAGGAACTTGGTCATTTCACCAGGGTAAAGGCTAATGAGGAGACGCTGAACTCAAGAAACATGCATTGTGTGGCCCAGTCTGTTTGGTGGCCATGGTCAACACTGGGCCCAACCTCCTCAGCAGGGTTTCGGTAATCAGAGGGATATAATTTGTATTTTACATCCTCTCTTTAACCAACAAGGGCTAATCTCTGTTAAAATTACTAGTTTCACATAAGTGTCCCTACAGGTCACGAGGAAATTGCAAGCACGTCTTTGTACACTGAACCATACTATATAGTAATTTCCTTTGTGAGGGTCTGTGACACCATGAATCTTAAAATGCATGCATCTTTTTCCTGGAGTCTGCTGAAACCACTGTGCAACACACCCCCTCCACAAACATGAAAAACACAAGCTGAAAGGCTGAACCGTCCCAAAACATAAAAACCAATCAGCTTTCCAAATGATAATTCACATATGTACTCCTGTTTTTTTTTTTTTTTTTTTCCTACTCTAGTCCTCATTCAGCAACAAGGCCCTTTATTCCACTGCTGCACCACAACCTAAGGTAGAAAAACACCCGGAAATCCACAACAGTGCGGCCATTCCCCAAAGCGAATCGCACACGGCTTGTTGTGCTATGCATTTAACTGAGCACCCGGAAACATGCGCTCTGCTCCATAATCTGACTATGTTAATCATTATTCAATACCGGGATCAATCCACCGCAGACCGGGCAGAGACAGGGGTGTGACGATACGAGCGGACAAGGTGCAGCTAGCATAAATAATATAAGGTGTCTCAGCACAGAGAAAACATTTCTCTCCTCGCAGACAAGACGCATAAAAACGAAAGAGAAATTTATGTAGAAGCATCGTGAAAAGGGATGTGACAGTTACCGGGGGTTTTGTCTCATGCATTTGCGGCCACTCACGCCAGGCTCGGATCTGTTATGGAGGGTTTATTGCCTGTGTCTACTAACAATAACACGGCCTCCCGACACAAGCTCAACCCGGGAAAACCGGTAGCCAAACACGGGGTCCAAATAATGTTTTAACGATAGCAGCGGCACCCTAACATTAAGGTGTTACCTAAAAATAACCAGGGTTCTGTCCCTGTCTACCGAGCCTGCAACCCTACAGGTCCCCGTGACGCGGATGCTAACAAAGGCCCGAAAACTGTCTGGAGCGGAAGACCGACACAACGGGAGGAAGGAGGGAGGCAGCTGCTTCAGTCCCACAAAATACTCCCGTTTAACTCCTCTTACAGCCTCTATATGAACAATACCGGCACCAATGTGTGAGTAAACAATGTCCTGTGCTACCGCGACCAGCGCACAGAAGATACTCACCCGCGGAGAGGGTGGATGGTCGCGGATTTCGGCCCCAGTTTCTCTCTGACACCCCAGGGTTTCACTCCGACAACATGGCGTCTCGGCGGAGAAGCAGGCAGGAGCGCTGCATGACGGGAAGGGATGAGAGCGCGTGCGATTCATTGCGCCAACCGGGAGAGGAGGGAGGGACATACCGGACCGGACCCTTTGTTATGTAGTCTATTTGTATTGTGTAGTGCATTTATTATGGATTTGTTGCGACCTCATTCATATATTTATCAATGGAGGAAAAAAAATTCTTTAGCGGACATTCGCGGCTTGTATAAGGAGAAAAAGGTGTGTGACTAAAATAAACTACAAAAATAACAAATCATACACAGTTTAGTAAGCCGCAGTACAAAATCACACAAATGTACTGAAATTTTAATACATGATATTAGTAGTACACGCAGTCACAAAGAAATTCTGTAAATAGTGTCATTAGCTCCGATTATATGGGTTATTTATATTATTTAGTCGGGTGTGGGCTGTACTCAATGGTAAAGAGGCTCTTAGGCAACGTGCTGCGCCACACGGTCAGCGGCGGGTGTGTTGCTGCTGGACGCCTCGTTGCACCTCTGGAGCGTAAGGGTACGGCGTGAAAACGGGTGTGAAAACGGGAGAAGTGGAAATGTGGCAGTGGCGACCCAGAGGCTGCAGGTGTGGATGACGTAATGCATATACAGCAGATTATAGCTACCCTATGGTAATCATATGGAAGTGTTCAGGATAGGCTGCTAAACGTAGGCCTACTTGTGCGGTGTCCAGTCATGGGGAATAAAATAGCCTGAAGAGTAGGCCTATAAAGTAGCTAATAGTCATAGGCTGTATTATTTTTAAACGTAGGCCCATGGACAGGTTATGAGACTATGGGTCCCTGGGTACAGACCTGTAGAAGGCACCCTTTAACTTTAATTATTACTGTGTCAAACCATTGGTAAACTATTAATATACTACAGCATTTTCTACATGTTAAGGTAACTACTTTTAATTATAAACAATAATCAAACAATGTCACTTAACGAATACCACAGTTCCTGTTACTCAGGATGAGCTTTTTTAAATAAAATCTTGACATTATTTTGATGTCTTAATCTTAATAAGAATAAAATTAACAAAATTTCAAAGGTCACAGTGAGCACACCTTTCAGCACTGCAGGCATTAAACAAGTCCCTTGATGAGTATCAGTGCTGTATTTTTCAATGTTGGGTTGACTTTGTGTAAAATTCATCACATTATTTTGATAAATTCTCATTGTGCAATATCAGCTCACCAGAGTGCATTACTTCTATGATCTTCTAAACTAATCAGGAGAAAATGTAATTCTATGCCTCATAATCCCAATATTAATGAAATGTAGTCAAAGCAGTTTATTTAACCTTTAGTCACTCAGTGAGAAATGGCAACAGAAGTCATATTTAATGTAGAAAGTGTATTTTTTATTATTTCAAGCTTCACCTTATGCCCAATAAGGTCTTCACCTCATACTTGCCTCCCTCCTTCCCTCTTCCTGTCTCTAGCTACACCTGCAAAAACTACTTGGAGCATGTCACTGTGCAAGTTCATGATGCATTTTCATCTAATGGCCACCATAGTCCAGTGGAGATCAGTGAATGAATTGTGGTGGTGTATGTAGCTTGTGAGAAAGATGATGGGGAGAGTTAGCTGCAGCTGGGTTCAAAATGATGCAACATGAGAATATCCAAAAAGACAGAATAAGAGAAACAGGTATGAAGAAAAACACTGATGTGTGCCCCTCTACCCCAGTCCCACCCACCCCTAATGCAACCCCTCTTTTCTAAATTGAAAAAAAAACAAAAAAAAACAATCATTGGCTGGTTATTTACATGCACAGTATCTCCCCCCACCCCCCAACCCACAGACACTAACACCTGATCCCAAAGCCATCTGCACCCCCATCAACAGCATCACATGTAGGAGGCTGATTTTATTTTCCTGAAAATTAAATATCCAGGCACTAGACTTGATTTTTGAAGTATGCCACAACTGTGAAGGATAAGTCTGGCAATATTCTTTATTTTTCTTATTGTCAAAGAATCCTGTTACCAAAGACCAAAATCAGAAAAGAACGGGCCCTACTAACATGTCTGTCTAGTCAAAGCCAAACACATGAGTGAGACACTGGTGTGACTTGCTCCTTCACTACGATGAGATTGGACACTATAAAGACACCATCCTACTGCTGTAAATACTCACAGAGCGCCACATCCACAGCTGAAAATAATCCAAACAAATACACTATTTATTGCTGTTTGAGTGGCACTGCTGCAAACAAAGCACTATCGCCTGACAGCAAGAAGGTTTCTGAGTCAGACCCTACTGGCTTCCTGGGGCCTTTCTGTACGGAGTTCTCCCTGTGGCTCGGTGTGCTCCAGCTTCTCCACACAGTCTGAAGACAGGCAGGTTAACTGGTGACTCTAAATTACCCATAGGTGTGAATGTGAGTCTGTCTCTATGCGTCTGCCCTGCGATAGACCAATGTCCAATCCAATTGGTTCCAGCTGCCTTTGCAACCATCTACAGGACAGGCCGTACAGCTAACGGATGATGTGACTGATTTTTAAGGATTTACTGTATGTCTCCAGGAACAAATGGGTTTGGAGCTTTTTTTAACCAATAATTTAATATATACAATATTGCTGGCCTGATCTGTTAAGAAATTCACCCTTTCTGCTCCACCAGTTCTGCTTTATTACCTCACCAGACATGGGCAGTGGTGTAAAAAGCTTGACGGTCTACGGTGATTTTAATGACACAGGAGGAAGGAAAGATGGCTTTGGGATCAGGACTCATAAAACTGCTCTAGTTTGACATCACCACATTCTAAAACAACAACAGGTACGAGCCGTGCCTCTTTTTGTTATGTGACCCCACCCCTACCCCCACCTCCACTCACACAACCACCCAAAACAAAAAAATTCACAGGGGCACCGAGCGGTGAGAGTCCAGGGTGCAACCACAGAGCACCAGCTAGTCCTTTGGAGTTACACAATCACACATTGCAAACACACACCTATGGGAGTATTGAGAGCTGGTAGTTTAGTGAAGTGTGTCCTCTGTGATTTGACAGAGGTGTCCCCAGCTCTTGTTCTCCGTATCTCTGCTCCCCACCCCTGGTCCCTCCTCCTTCATCTCGTCATGCCACCTGGCATGTTGGTTCTTCCCTGAGCTCTGTACATTCTAATCAGGGCCATGTTCCTCATTCACAGACACAGGCGCGCACGCACACACACACACACACGTCGCTCTCTGAGTGGGGTTAAGTCCGTTCCTCAGGTAAACTGTGACACAGAGTGAGTGTAATCAGGGCGACTGCTGAGTTCCATCCACAGTGACACCATCAGAATTTGGCCTGAAGGGGGCGCTACCAAGAGTTAACCAGCCCTGGGATGCAGAAGGGAAGAGATCAAGGAGAGATTCACACACTCAGGCATTATTGTAGCAATATGCTGCATTCTGATATAACTGAATGTGTGGGGCACTCCAGTGGTTTGCGGTATTGGAGAAACTACTTTGAAACAAACTGTAGCTTTCTAAACTATCAATCACTTGACATTGGAAGAAGTTAAAACTACAGCAAAGCTACTCTAGAGAGAAAAGCAGTTTGGTAAACTAAAGTTAATTAGAAAAAGTAGTTTTGAGTGCCCCTTAAAAGACAAACGTTCAACAATAAGATCAAAAAGAAGGAGAAGATACTTAGAGAAAGATAAATCTGTAACTCACGTGTAAAGAGGCTGCAGTTGCAGATGAGAGGACTTCTGAGGAGGCTGGTAGCCATAGGAGTCAAAGCCACCGATGAAATCAACTTCAGAAGGGGAGAGAAAGGAAGAGAAGACATCATTATACTTTTTTAAAATTTAAATCACGTGTTGTATTTCAAGATGAGATTGATTTTTGACATGAAACTCTACTGAGGCATCAGATGATTCTGTATCATAATGTTGTCAGTATACCTTTATAACACTGTGACATCAGACTCGACATGTGCACCGGATACATCATCTTTCTTGCTGCCTCTATGTCACTAACACACTGTTCCAGTCTTTCTCGAATGATTCAGAGAAATAAACTTATGTGGGACTAACTAAAAAAAAAAAAAGCACATAGTCCCCGACTACATCAGTGGAGATACAGACCAGAAGTTAGGGATCTGTGGACAAACATAGTCATTTTTTCCCTCAAGAGATCTGATTATTACAAGATTAATCCCGTGAAGTTGTGTTGTTGCAAGTTGTTCTTTTTTAAACTAAGACATGAACAAGAGAGAAAATCACCTTGACATTCATCTACAACATATTACACACGTAACCAAATAAAGTGGTGCCTTTATCAACTAGAGCTAGACAGGTAATTCACATTAGGGTAGGGTAAATTACTGCATACAAAGTATACAAGAAAGCTGAGTAGATCCCTGGTCCACAACGCCAGAATGTTAAGTAATTACAAACCCTGTCCATTTAATACAATTTTCTTTGTTTTCAGCCAAAGCCCAAGAACTGTGCCAGTTTATTAGAAAGACAGAAATGTCTGACTAATTAAACTATAACCAAAGGTCCATACTGAAAGAACCAAGTGTGACAAAGTCAGTACAAAGATATACTTACTTTTGCTGTAGTTTAGGGCCAGTATTTTCAATTGTCTATCTAACCTGTTTTTAATTATATATATAACCAAATTTGTGTTTATATAATGCATTTAGGTAAAAAAACAAAAACAAATAAAAAGTAATGATTCTGTATGTTATTGTTATTTTGTCATTACCACTATGTTATGACATGCATTTAATCATGATACAGAATGCTGTTACGACAACGCAGGCACAGTATGTCCTTCCTTTTCCAGAAAATCAAACTTATGATGTCATACTGTAAATCCAGGGCCTGTGAGTGAGAGTAAAACACTCACAAAAGGCACATGAGGCGAAGACCCATTCAGACTCACAGATAACACACAAAGCAACAGACAAGCACTAGCCAGCAGGCAGCGTGTCACTCTGACTGTGTAAAGACTCTGGCAGGCATCTCTAATACTCCCCACAGATGGAGTGCTACGATCACCCAGAGTGAATCCTCTGCAGTGATATCGCTCAGCATGACTCAGACAGGAGAAAACAATGAGCTAACCGCACTCACGATATGAATCTCTAACACAAACGCCCTCTCCACAGTATGACAGGTAAACCTCATCAGCTGAACAAGGTGGTAGGAATGGATAAATGCACTCACAGCTGTCTTCATCGTCCTGGAAGACTTTGCTCACGTAGCAGGCATACACAAAGCCGAAGAGCTGTTAAAGAGAGGGCCAGAAAGAAGATGACTCTTTCTGTGCAGGCCGAGTCACTGCTGACATATGTGTGTCAGGGTGTGTGTGATAGATACGTACAGCCAGTAGGATCTGAATGGCTGAACTCAACACCTCAATGTACTGGTAGTCAAGGAGACACCCAGAGACAGTGATGACATGGTGGTCATCAGGGGCCAATCGAGAGTCTGGCACTGGCGTTACCAGGCAACCAGGACCGTGCTCCATCCACCACGAACGGTGGAGGGATGTGTTGAACGTCATGAGAAAGTCCCTGTCCTGAAGACACACACATATTTTCATAAGAACAACTATTTATTACTCATTTACCCATTTTATACCCATTTAGCATAGTATGAAACAAAACAACAATAACAAACAGAGAAAATAGGCATTTGAGAAGCTGCAAACAGAATGTTTGACATTATTGCATGATATATGACTTCTAGAGGTTTAGAACAACAGGAAATTATCATGCTTAGGGTAAACTGGTAATAGGATGTAGATACAATGCAGAGTGTGATGAGTTGCAAATTAAGTTCTTTTCATTATCAGTTCATCTAGCATTTGTTTTTGCAATTGATTATTTGGTATAAAAATGTCAGAGAAAAGAGAAAAATGCCCATCACAGTATCTGAGAGTCCTAGATCATGTCTTGAAATGTATTGTTTTGTCCAACCAACAGTCCCAAAACCAAAAACATTAAGTTAGTTATTATAGAAAAAAGCAAATATTATAATTTGGAGCCAGAAAGAAGGTTGTACCCAGTAGTTTTTAGTGGCATTTTTGCTTAAGAATGATAACGATTAATCAGTTATGAAGATATGTGCCAACTTTTTTGTGGTTGTTGTTTGACTAATCAATTAATTGTCTCTGCATTGACATAGCTTTTGTAAGACCTCACTAGCCAAAAAGGTTGGGAGCCACTGAATTAAACAGTTATCAAAATCGTTGGCTCTTCATTTTCTGTCCTAAGTGACTAAACATTCCAGCACTAAAGAGTGTGCTAATTACTGTGACTATCCAAGCTGTAAAGGCATTACACATTACACACAACCACAAGTACAAACACAGAACATACCTGAGACAGGTTTCCAGCTTCCAAGTAGAAACAGATGATGAAGGAGTTCCAGCCCACCCAAAGGATCAGCCATACTGCATACTGCCAGAGACAGAGACCAGTTTCTGGATGAGAGGGACTACACACAGAGGGTCTCATGCTTCATCGGTTCAGAGAAGAGGTGAGGGATATACTCACAAAGATGAGGTATCTGAAGCGAAACTGCACAGTACCGAACATGCCCAGGATGACAGCCATAATGTGCAGGAAGTTGGCCAGGATGGGAGCCCACTGGTAGCCCAGAAAGTCAAACACCTGCCTCTGGAGGGCTGCCACCTAGGGGGCATTGTGGTGGTGGTGGTGGGGTCACATAACCATGAACATATGCAAATGCATTGCCCATACAAACATACACACAGACAGTGACAGGGACACAACATACACGCAGGTCTGCCGCAGTTGTTTCCATGGTAACTACATAGCACACCAGCTAGCCCAGTGACTGTAAAAAGAGGAGCACCCCGAAGAAGCTCCCCCAAACTAATGAGAATCTGTGGGCCACAGCTCCACAGCAACTCATCAGCCCTGCAAACAATAAGCAGCCCTCACACTGCTGCCGTCCATCCCTGCATGAATACATGACACTGGCTCACATTACACACTTATTACATCTTAGAGGAACAGTCTGGAGCTATTTCTGGCCACATCTAACTTTAACTCCAGAATGGAGACCAGATGGTGAACAGGGCCTCCTCATCCCTCTTGTGCTTCACGTGGTTTTGCCAGAATGGGGCTATGGCCCCTCTCTCTACAGACACAGACCTCCCTGACACCTAAGAGCCCCCCTGCTCCCTCTGCTTCAAAGACACACAGACCCTCGCCTGTAATGTGGCATGGCACCCCAGCAGCTGCAGCTCAAAGCCTTTCTAGCGTGATTGTACAGAGAAAGGCGGCTGGAAAAATGTCTGATTACACTGTGCGGGATTGTAGCACGCTGCTCTAATTATATGTTCATGGTGAGTAGAGAGGCAACTTTAGCTGTGCGCGCGCGCGCGCACACACACACACACACACACACACACACACACACATATATACACTCACCAGCTGCAGTGAACATATCACCAGCAGCGTGCATCTGCCGTCGCACTTCCCCATCTTGGAGGGCTCAGGACGCGGCTTGGAGCCGCGGAGGCTCCGGGGGAAGGACGGCTCCCCGGTCAGATCCAGACTGCCTGGCCGTGTCAGCTCACACCATTCCCGTTTAAATAGATCTGTCCAGGCCTGCCGCTGATGTGGTGTTTCCAATCACAGTGAGTGACCCATCTTGACCGCTGGTTTTGTCGGTAAATACCAATCGTGGGTGGTTTTCAGGGAGGGTCCACTTCACACCGGCCTGCTGCGGTCCGACCACCACCGACAACCTAATCACCTCGGCCACACCTTCGGGAGAGGGGACACACAAAGGCACAAAGAGAGACGGAAGGCTGTCATGATCTGCCCCAAGGTACCCACAGAAAAGAGCATCACATGATGCCGGATCACACGGGGCGGCGGGGAGCAGGGGACCGACCCCGCAGTGTTATTACAGCTAACGTTTGGCTACATTCAGTCGGACACAAAGCAGCCCGCTGTGACTCACGGTTTTCCAGGAGCGGAAGAGTCCTCGCCCCCCACCTCCGTCGTTCCGATCCTAGTCTCCTCAAGCAGTTCGAGGAAAGCAGTCAAGTTAACGGGAAGATCTGCTCACCGGTACCGGATTCTGGGCTCCTTCACTCCGTCTCGCAGTCTTTTGTCAACAATGGGCGGGCGCAGGAGCCGAGGGAGACGAGGAGGGGGCGGGGGCTCTCAGTCACCGCGATCCCCTCGAGGAGGAGTCGCATGGATTCTGCAGCCCTGCGCGCGTGCGCGCGGCCGAGCAGCAGCTCCGCGAGGTGTTGGGAAGGAGCACAAAAGACAGGGGAGCTGGCGGCGGTGGGGTCTGCTACGGCCTCCCACTACCACCGGAGTATGGATCCAGACCAGCCAGCCGTCATTCCACACAATCATCGGCCATGTTTAAGCTCAGCCTCTGACCGGAAGCAGTGCGTTAACGATCGCTGACGAAAGGCCGAGACCGTTTGGGCATTTATCACAAGAGCACGGGACAATCAAGGAAAAACAGGACCATTACATGTTAGTTCACGGTAATCTGTCTGACATGCACTTTCCATATAGGCCAGTAAAAATAAAAACCAGTTCAACTGTTAAAGCACATCCACCTTTAACTGGGCTTTAACTGGGTTAGTAATGTTATGGACCCACTTTGCATTTTAACTAGGTTACACGAAGTAAAAATCTATATTTGGTGCTTGTTATGATTTTTTTTAAATTGTACTCAATTTTTATATTTTCATTTGCATTTTAATTTTACTTTCTAAACGTGTAATACAAATAAAACTTACAATATACAGTGGACAACACTGAAAGATATGAACAAAGGTGTTTAGTCCAAGCTTGTAGTTAATCCACTTTAACTGCAGTTGGACTGAATAAAGTGATTAGTGGCAGTCACATACCAGTAACTCTACTGAACCATACTTTAAGAGGCAACATCAAGATGGAAGAAAAAAGAAAATTAAGCATATTTATTATTTTTCAGAAATAAAAGTATTTTTGAGTACCTACATGAGAGTTTAAGAAGTAATACTACTTATTATAATTCTTATGATACCTCTTAACAATGGCCCATTCTTTCAGTGTTAAACTGTCATTTGAGTTTAACTCTGACAATATGACAGATCTGTAAAATAACATTAACTTCCTGTAACAACTACATCAGGTGAGTAAAAGCAGAAACAGATGGGTGGTATGAAATGGATTGTTTATCTGTGCACAAACAACCTGCCTGTTTTTCACTTTGGAGGAAAAAACCTGCAGCTGGTTATGACTACTATAAGTATAAATATAAATATAAAAGAGTCATATTAACAGAAGAACCCAATAAAATCTTTTTACAGATTACTGGAGTTTATTAAAAAAAAAAAGAGATCAGAATAAAAAACAAGTTGTGGTGGATCTTGTTGTTACTGGGTATAATAAACTTCCAACATATGTCCTGAGGTTGTTCTGAGATGAGCTGAAGCACATCGAATTACAGAGACTCCTAGTACTCTGCCGAACACCACCCATTCACCTCCGAGGCAGGACACACATTCACTCACTCACACACACACACACACACACACACACACACGCGCAATTTCCACGTGGACATATGCACGCCCTACTGAATTTCTCCCATGTAGAGCCGTTTATCACTGGAGCCGGACAGCACTGTGTAGAGGGACAAAGAGAAAAGGTGATTCAAATAACCAGCTACAAATGAACTATATGACTTTATATGAATTCAAATGAAACGTCCACCTCTCGTCTCAACTTATCTGAGCTGTTCTGTGTGTTCAACAACAAAAAAAAGACCGAAACCTCTGTCCCTTCAGTCTTCAAATATCTCTATGCCCTTCTTTAAACATGTATTATAGTGTAATCTGAGAGCTGCTCCACTCACCTATGGGCTCCTCTGGGTGGAAGACCACTTCATTGACAGAGCCAGCGTGGCCCGGCAGCTTGTACAGAATTCTGCGTGATGTGGTGTCCCAAATATACACAAATCTACAAACACAGACAAAAGTCAATAAAGATAGTGACTCCTAGTGTGAGATAAGGTGAAACATGGTGATTATTTTATTTTTGTTCTAACTTATGCTGCCGTTTATGATTTAAGACAGAAAATGTGAGAGCTAAAGTGATCTTCCCTTTCAGGATTGAGAGAACCTCCTTCAAAATCTCCCTAGTGGCATTTATGTTTGTACATATGAACAGCATTTCCCATAAGCCTCAGTCAGTTGTGGGTTTTAGGTGCCTGGGTGAGTTGAGGGGCTACAGATATTCCTAACAGCAACCGCTACAACTAAAAGGTTGTAAAATTACATTAGAAAAGAGCGTCTGTGGATATTATGGAGAAAACAGAGTTAAAATGATGAATTGTTTAATAAATGCATGGTCTAAGCAGTACGTTTTCATGTGGAGCTCCAGCCATTTATAAAGTAACACATTAATAGTGATTTGGCCCAGTTTGCTTTTAGTTTAGTTTATTTATTTATGGTTTGCATATTTTAAAAATGTTTAGCTTATTTAACCTCTAAACTGTAGACCTGCTGCACTTAAAGTATACTGTTTATAGCTTATCTTTACACTTATGGTGCCTTGTGTATTTTAAAGCATAATTATGTATATGGTGTGTTTATTATTGTTATGTACATACAGGTGACAAATTAAAAGGAAAAACCAACAGAAAATGTCTTAGGTGACAAATTAAAGGAAAAACCAACAGAAAATGTCTTGGTGAGGTGCTGAGCCACCAAGTGTCACCAGAGCAGCTTCAGTACACCCTGGCACTGACTCTACAAGTCTCTGAACTCCACTGGAGGGATTAACACCATTCTTCCCAAAGATATTTCCTCATTTAGTGTTTTGACGATGGTGGTGGAGACGTTGTCTAACACATCACTCCAAAATCTCCCATGGGTTCAAGTGGGTGGAGCTCTGGTGACTGTGAAGGCCATAGCATATGATTCTCATCATTTTCATACTCAAACCATTCAGTGACCCCTCATGTCCTATGGATGGAGACACTGTCATCCTGGAGGAGACCACTCCTTTATTCAAGTTTTTCCTTTAATTTGTCTGAATGTCCTGCTGCACCATGAGCTCACCCAGTCTAATCTGATTCATTGCATGTCCTTGTGCTGCTGTTATGTTTTGGTGAACAGTTTCACCCTCTGGTGGACAACAAAGGTTTATTCTATTCTATTCTGTCCTAAGACAAATAATGTTTCTCCCTCCAGCAGCAAGTCCTTAAAACACAGATAGTACATCCTTGGAACAAGTTAAAATTTTTCAGAAAGACTGATGTCAGTGTTTAGAGAGAGAGGGCCAGCCTGGAGGTGAAGTCAGGACTACGGCTCTGTAGAGTCACTGGGACAACAAGTTGTTCCTGGACCAGATAATAAACTATACCCTGGCCTCTAGCTAGTGTGTCTGTGTGTACCTTTTCCCTCACCTGTCAGCTGAGCCTGCAGCTACCTTACTGCCATCAGTAGACCAGGAGCACCTCAGCAAATTCTGGAAGACAGAAACACAAGTCAACATGATGCTACTATTTAACATGCAGGATATCATTACCATAAGTAGATGAAAGATCAGCTTTTCTTTATTAGCAAGGACAACAGACAGTGAGACAGGAGAGTACAGCCCCTTTCGGACGCAGAAATTTGCCCGCTATTTCATATGTAGACATCATGTCTGAACATAGCCCAGCATCACACAGCCGGCAAAGTGCTGCTGCCACTTTTACCAGACTGGACTTAGTCCAATAGCCGGTTACTATCTAAACTGTCTGAATTGATGCTGTCAAACTGCCAGTAAGAGTGCACTCAAGATGACAGTGCTACACAAAGCATACGTTTTCATTGCTTCGCTGCTTTGTTCTTCCTCTCTTCAGTCATTCTCTAGCTCACTTAAGAGCGTGGGTCTCTCTCTCTCTTTTAGTGGATTTAGAACACAGTAAAATTTGGGCACAAATATAAAAAGAACATAACACTATCTTGCACAAAGTTTATTTTGAACTGGTAGAGAGAAGATATTGTTTTACTGCATTAGCATGGGCTAATGCAAAATGACTGGAAATCGGTCTAACATGGAAATCAAAGCACTACTTTTCATCTATGCTGGGGAAGAAATTACTAATCAGATAAATGGAAATAGCGTCGCAGTGTGACGGTGTCATGTGATGCTGGATATCGAGTGAATGCTGTGGCTGTACCCAGCTCAGTCATCCACTGTTTGAACAAACCTTTGTCAGAATTTCACACACAGCAGCTCCAAGTCTGAACACCAAAAAAAGCAACTGCTACATGTAGCCTGCAATTCACAGCTACTGTGTCTGAAAGCACCCATTAGAGCAAGAAACAAAGTCATGCAATCGTGATCAACAACAGATGCAGACACCGCCAGCAGGGCTTCTACTCTTAGACATTTGTGTACAGTTATAAACTGTATCATTTCACAGGATGATTATTATGTGTCGTGTTGATTCATGTCACATACGTATGTACCCAAATACACACCACACAAAGGAATCCCTTTGTAGGAAAAACTGAATATCTGGTCTCTGTCGTGGAGAAAAAAATGTGCTGGATGGCAAAAAACTGAATGTACTGTAGTATCAGTCCCTTGGTGCAAGTGAACTCCATCTGCCCTAGGCCACAGTTATTTATGCGTTACCTTTTCAAAGTTGTGAACATTGCCCTGGAAAATCTTCACACATCTCTCCTTTGGTGCGAATGGTCGAACATCCCAAATACGCACTACACAGAAACACAGGTATAAATCAAAGAAAGGATCCAGCCATAAAGAATTCACTGTAATGAGCTGATAAAAATCCATTTCTTACACCTTACCTGTGTTATCCATGGAGTTTGAGAGAAGGTATGATCCCTCGGAGCTGAGGCTGAGTCCAGTTACTGAGTCACCATGGCCGTGCATATTATAGATCAGCTTATTCTGCCTCAGGTCCCACACCTGCCCAGCACAGACACCAGCTTTTAATAGTGTTTTTACAAAAGAATATATAAAGAGTGCAAAGAATAGGCCTTTTAATAGTGTTTTTACAAAAGAATAGGTCTGAACGAATATGTCACTGGAAGATACACAGTAATGAAAAATAAGAATAATAATTGTGGTTAAAGTCAAGGGGAAAAAAATACTGATGTTCTTATGTTACATGAACACACCATGAAAAGTCAACTGCAAAATCACAAGGAAACCTGGAGCAGGATCTGTGACCCGGAGTAGGTAACGGAATGAAGCATTACGCACCAGCGTGATTATTGCACATTATATAAGATGCAAGCAATGAAGTCACCATTTTATAGGGTTAGCAGCATCTGAACAGAGACAGTTTCACAGCATACTGACAAGGAGCTACATTATTCACTCAAATGAAAACGGCATTGTGTTTCATCAGCTACAGATCCCCTTTCCACTGACAGTCGTAATGTTAAGGTACTGATATGCCCATAAAGCGATAAGATATAATGCCAACTAGTCATAATGAATGCACTCAAAACATACATGTTATGTTAATGCTAGGAGCACATGAGTGATTTCATTTTACTCACTTTGATATACGTATATGCATATATATTCATAGAAGGGTAAATGTTTTCTTCAGATGCTCTTAAAAATGTTATTATTGCCAACTTACTATTATGGATATACTTGTGAAACTACTGCACCATTATTTTTGTTATACTATATACACAACTTTTAAAGTGTGTATATGTGTTAAAGTTGACAGCTAATGTAATTATTTAACTAACTAATAAAACATTTTTCAGTCACTTTGAATGCACGTAGTTTTCCAGAATTGTGTAATTTCCTGGTTTACTGTTTATGCAGGAGCCCTGTACCTTGATGTCATTATCGATGCCTCCCGACAAAATCTGATCACTGGTGTCATTGAAGGTCACAGCCAGCACCTGGTAGGTGTTCTGGAAAGTGTGGATCGCTCCCTTCTTACGAATGTCCCACAGCTATCACGGTGATAATCACACACAGAAAGATAAACAAAAGCCTGATCAGACCAACAACTGTAGTATGTGAGATAAATTTATAACATAAAAAAAAAAAACTGTCTATCATTGAGACTTGTGAATGTGTTGGGGTTAATGCTGCCAACAACTGAACCCAATGATCAAGGATAAAATTCCAATTAAACACCTCTGAACTGGTGAAATAATTGAAATGGCAGCTGGAAATCTCACCTTGACTGTCCCATCATCGCTGCCCGTACAGACAAGCTGGGGCCCTCGGCGGGCTGGGTAGCAGGTGTTAACGAAGGAGGTGTGGCCCTTAAGACGTTTGACCCTCTCACCTGTCTCACTGTCCCACACACCTACAGTCTTGTCTGTGCTGGCTGAAAACAGCACACTAAAATACATAATGAAAATGCTCAATAAAAAAAAGTTACTTTTAACCTAACAATCATAAAAAAAGTTGCCAACTCTCTCAGCCAGCTGGAAAATGTAAAATACATATTGCTCTCCACTAGCCATCATGCTACACTGATAATTCTAAAAAACCTATAATTTGACAAGACATCATAATTTTATCAGAAACCTTTATCCAAACTGTCCACTTTCCCTTCTGCTTGTCCACTCACAACTTCAAGATTATGCTATTCACTACATTAATACAGCTAATCATTTTGACTGAAATGTGCTCCAGCAGAATATACCAGTGACGTTTGCCTCATCCATAACCGTCCATACCTGCCATCTGTATTGTAGTGCAGCTCCATCACGGCCCCACTATGGCCCTTCAGAGTGGCATAATTATCACAGTCTCCATACACATTCCACAGCACTGCAGCAAGGAAACACAGCATACCACAGTGATTCACAGGAACTAGGAGTAAAGTTAAGTTAAAGCATTTGTGAACTATTGGTTTGCCCGCTTGCACTAGTTTGATTACTAAAAACATACAAATGAGCCTGTCAAATCCCGAGGAGGCCAGCGTGGCTCCGTTCGGGTGGAACTTGCAGCAGTAGACCTCGCCCTCATGGCCAGACATCAACATGATGGGCGCCTGCAGGCTGGAGCTTCGTGGGGGGCCCTACGGGATTTCAGACACGTAAATCCTGAATAGAGTTGTCCACCTGATGTTTATCACAGTGAAGTGCATAATAAGTCACAAACAACTTGTTATTTCTTACTTAATGCAGCAATCTTTCTAGGAGAAATTTAACTTGAAACGGACTACTCTGAATTGATGAATATTGTCAAGTCCTAACTAAAAGAAAAAAATCCCAGTAGACAATTGCTATGACAAACATTACAGTGTGAATTTTGGCGTATTTGCCAGTCCTAGCTGTGCACGGCTAAATGTGAATTAAACACGTTTCCTGCCACTTCATTAATGTGATGTTATTTTCTTTCCCTGTTTGCAGTTAGTAACGTTTATGCACCTACAGTACTATTACATCCAGTTAGCGCACTGAAGAACAAATACGCTGTTAAGATTGACAGTATGTATGCTTTGGTTGCATCTAACAAGTTTCTACGTGTACTTGTGGAATCACCGGGGTTTTCTCTCGTACCATGGCCACGAGTTGTTGAGACTGAGCCGCCGCCACAAGCTCCGTCCGTGGGGGCCGGAAGAACCCCCCCCTCTGCCCGCCACTCTCTTCTTGGGTTCAATCATGCCGCCTTAGTTAACAAGAAACAGCTAAAGCGTTTAATTTAATGCTGTAGTTTTTAAAAAATGAATGTAGGTCTTTCCTGAAGGGACATCGAACGCCGTAGCACCAACAAAGAACAGAAAGGAACTACTTCCGTTGGATACGAGGCTTGTCATTGGCCAAGTTTGCTCCGACAGCGGTGATTGGTTATTTGCTTGTTGTCAAAACTATTTTGTACCGGATGTAAAACTGAATCGGCTCTGCTAACACGAAAGGTGATAATTTCTCATATTTTTCCTGAACTGGAGTTACATTATGCAAGGTTTGTCCTTTTATAGATTGAAATATATTACTTAATACACGGTCCACTTATTCGTATCTAGGTAAAATACAGTGCTATAGTGTTCATACTGTTAGCTAACGTTAGCACCATTGCTACTATTCAAGTTAGTCTGTAGGTTTTCTTCTTTCTTGTGTCCAAAAACGTTTGCGCGTTTTACTTTCTGAATCTCATACAGATCATGTCACGGATATTTTTCCTGAACTGGAGTTACATTATGCAAGGTTTGTCCTTTTATAGATTGAAATATATTACTTAATACACGGTCCACTTATTCGTATCTAGGTAAAATACAGTGCTATAGTGTTCATACTGTTAGCTAACGTTAGCACCATTGCTACTATTCAAGTTAGTCTGTAGGTTTTCTTCTTTCTTGTGTCCAAAAACGTTTGCGCGTTTTATTTTCTAAATCTAATACAGATCATGTCACGTAAACCAACAATGTGTTATCCCTATGTAAGAGAACAGCACTCTAGCAGAGAGAATACAGTGGAAAAGTGGAGCGATTAAATGACTTGGTTGTTAAAAGTGTTTTTAACGCAGATTTTCAAAGATTAAATCTAAATACGTTTAAATAATTTTGAACTTGTTCTTCCCCAAAAATCACCATGCGGTCTCAAATGCACATATACAACAAAAATACCTGTGCAGGGGTAAATCATAATAAAAATACTTATGTCTTAACTCTCTCTCTTTTTAACCAGGATGTCATTTTTCTGTTTAACAGTTTATAATATAACAGGTGACTCATATGGCTATAAAGACTTTATAACTAAGAAAGTTGGATAGATGCACATGAATAAAGCCTTCACTGTATCAAATATTGTAGTAATAATTTAATGAAGGTTCTTATAAACTTTATTAAATGTATTCTCTTAAAATATAAACACACTTCTATTTCTATGTCTACAAATAGTCAAATATATTTCAGTATCAGTCTTCTAGATCAACTCAATGATCAACTTAATGAGACCAGCGATCTACCACCACTGAGACGATGTCAGACCGCGATGGCCAAGCACCAGAGCCTGCTGGACTGGATGGTCTGCCTCCTCTGTACAGCATAGCTAAGGGAGAAGTGGTCTCCCTGCAGACCTATGGAGCTTTTGTCAGACTGCCAGGATACAAGAAAGAGGGTGAGTGGAAACTGATGTCCATGCATCTCTGTAGACATTTACTGCAAGCATTTTCAAAGATCACATAACAATCACAATAAAATGATTTTTTTTGTTTTTGCAGTAAAAAGGCACCAGAAAAAAAGTGTCTAAGATACATGATGGCACCAGAGAATTCCTTCTCTTACTGTAAAAAGTTGGATATTATCAGTTTGCTTTTTTTTTTTTTTTGCTTGAGGGCAGTAACTTAGCCAGCATCCTGCAATTTTGGTGGCACGATGTAGCATCTAACAGATGATGTGAAAATGTTACACTGCAAGCCCATGCTTTTAATATGTTGATTTTTTTTATATATTAGCACAGTTCCTATTGAAAGTAATTGTGAACACAGCTTTTTTCCAGTTCCTTGTAAAAGGTATCCAAGATAATGTGGAGGAAAAGAGCAGAAATTGTTTAGGGACGGGCATGGTTGCCAAAAAGGATAAAGTTGATGTATCAAATTTATATTTACACTGGGCTTACATTTTTTATTTTCAACCAAGTGAGTTATTGTGGCACAGCTGTCTCTGACCTCCGTGTTCAACTGGACACCAGTAGCTCATTTCCACCACCAGAGGGCAATGTTTGGTGCTCAAATGTTGAGGAACATTCAATTGCAATAAACTGGATCCCCATCAGCTTCCACAGTGGTTGCTAGTCTTCCTGGGGTCCACTTATTCAAAAAAAATACCTTTAAAATTTACACATCATAGTATTTACAATTAAAATTCCATAACATTAACGATCATAAAATTGTGTCCAAAAATGTTGCAGTCTTTTAGTGTTGATGACATTAATCCATGTGTCTCATCTATAGTATGACTGATACAGGTTTTTTGGGGCCAATACTGATATGTGAGAGTTTAAAAAAAAATCTAATACCAATATATCAACCAATATAAATTTTCTTTATACAACCCATATCATACATTTATCAGTACCGTTTGGCAAAATGGTGACACCGCTCCAAAACATATCTTTGGTATGACTGTACTTCAGTTTCTTGCCATTTATTGTTTGACAAATATGCAGATACTAGTACATCTGCAATGAGCTAATGTCGCTGATATATTGGTCAGGCTCTAATTTCACCACTAGCAATAGAAGGATGTATTTCTGTGTCTAAATCCTTTGAAATAATTGTTTGTGCATTTATTTGTGTGTTGTGTTTTTTTTTCCTCCTCCACACACAGGGCTGGTACATGTGAGTGAGATGTCAGCCTCACGTGTTGAGAATCCCTCAGAAATTGTTGATGTGGGGGAGCAGGTGTGGATTAAAGTCATTGGGAGAGAGGTAACACACACGCACACTAACACACGCAATGTGAGCAAAGTCAAGCGGGTCAACTTCACGTCTGTCCTCTGCCTCTCAGATTCAGGGTGACAAGCTGAAGTTGTCGTTCTCAATGAAAGCTGTCAATCAGGGAACAGGGCGGGACTTGGACCCAAACAATGTCATGGCAGAGTGAGTACTTACAGTTTTATTTTGTCATATGTGTGTCTGTGCATGAATGCATGTACAGATATGTGTTATTATTGTCTGTGTGATTGTAGGCAGGATGGTAGGCGACGTAAGCATTTCAGAGACCATACTGGCGACAGGATCACACTGGAGGCTGTGCTCAACACAACATGTTCAAAGTGTGGCTGCAAGGGTATGACAACAACATATAACTGTCACATCTTAAAGGGGAAAACACTGGCGAGGCAGAATGCATTTGTCTCATACATGTTCTGTATGTTGGAACATATGCTATGAATCTTTTCTTTTTCTCAGGTCACTTTACAAAAGACTGTTTCTCTGCTCCGGGCACGCAGTACGCTCTTTTACCTGAAGAGGACAATGAAGAGCCACAGCAGCAGCCCTTAACAACTGCACAGCAACACTCTGACAAAAAGAAGAAGAAAAAGAAGGTGACTATGACAGCCAATGTTCTGTGTGGTACTTCCTTTTATTCCATCTCTCTTCTGTCTTTCTTTTTGTGTCTCTTGACTGATGAGTCACCTGCTAGTCAACAAGTTTCTATATGACAATTCATGGGTGTCGTTGCTTAAGCAGAGTTACAAGCAGTCTCATGAAATGTGGAAGAATATAGATAGTTTAGTTCTGAGTCAGTGAAAAATGTTTCATTTTGAGGCACTGAAATGACTGTCGGTAATGTGGAAGAATATAGATAGTTTAGTTTCATTTTGAGGCACAGTTTTTTGTGTAGTTCTGTAGCATCGTTATTCAGGTTTGTTTTTACACAAAAATGATTTTTACTTGTGTGTTTATCCTCCAGGAGAAGAAAATGAAAAAGAAGAAGAAAAGGGAGCGAAAGGAGTCAGAGAGCGATGGCAGCAGCAATGATGAATGCAAATATAAGAGGAAGCGCCATGACCACACTCATGACAAAAAGAAGCAACACAAGAAACATAAGTCACACAAACACAGCTGAGACAGCCACACACATATACAGCCACACTGCAGCTATCAGACAAAAGCAAAAAGAGAAGTGGTAAGCAACAGACGGACTGACCGACTTCCAGCTGGAACTCTTAACAATATCCCCACAACAGCTTATTATAGAAACCTTCATGCATTTAAGTTAAAGAAGGTTGTGTTTACTGTCTCTACATATTATTGAAAGCAGAATCAGAAACCTCCTATCAAGCTTAAAAAAAAATCAAAAGGACCCAAAACCCCCGGAAAAAACAAAAATCAGGTGACAAGCCACACATGTCCTATAGTAACCTATCGCTCTCCCACAGAGGAGTTTACACATATGTAACCTGATAGGTTTAAGCGATATGGCAGCAAGTGGCTCTCCCTTTAGAAGTTCATGTATTGTTTACAGCTATCTAGTTTCCAATGCTTTGAGAAATCCAAAAAGCAAACACAAGACAGCAAAGTCAACTCATAGTGGCTTTGACATGAAAATGATTCAAATATTCCAAACACAGGAAGTAGTAAACACAGACAGGAAGTGTAATCAAACATAAGAGAGTGTGACAGGAACCTCATGCTATGGTGATATCCTGAGGTTGTCCACCGCATATTGTGCATCTATGTGTAGATAAATGTGTGTTTGTGTATCTTGTTCCCAGGGGGCTGCTCACAGTACACACACCCCTCTTTGTGCATCTCAACTGCTAACCCCATTAAAGGTGTTTTTCTAAAGTTAAAAAAAAACAAAAAAAACCTCTTGATGTCTTTGTTCCTGGACATTGTCCTCACAGTCAGTCCCTGGGGAACCAAAACACAAGCATAAGAAGCTCTGATCCATCCTAGTGTCATACCAGGTCAGTGCTAGAATGAAATATTTACACAACATAGACGTCAGGCCACCTGAGGTCATGGTGGCACAAAGACAAAGTGCTGCTTGTCAATATACAGTAAAGACAATGTTGGGAAATAACACCTTAACTGGTTTGTGTTGTTTTGACCTAGTTTTCAAGCATCTACATGTAGGATTGTGTAGTGATTTTTATTTTCAGCTTCAGTGAATGAACTGTTAATGTAGAAAAATGTATGGTCAGTCTGAAGACTCCTCTTAATTTTCTTATGTTCTACTAATTATTTGCACCAGATGAACAAGCTGAATTTAATACACCCTGCTAAACATTTAGTATGAATCCAAGTTTGCACAACCAAATTTGCCAGGTTGTTGCATTATTGAAGATACAGTAATTTGAATGTAACATGATTAAAAATGAGCAGTTTGCATATTTGTTCCACTTGTATAACAATGTTTGACGTGACCTTGGGGAGACCTGGAGGTTGATTTTCCTCATACAGGACATCCTTGAAATATGTAGCATGCATGTTTCTAGAAGGGACTATCTAATTTATCTTGTACATCCTTGTACACTGTATCAGATTGTATTGATTTCCAGACAGAAGAATTTCAATTTGGATTAAAAAGGGCTATTCATACTGCTCACCTGTTTCTTGTTTCTTTCTAAACACAATGTGGATATAGTTTTATATAATGGCCATTCCACCGAATGGGTGCCATCTCTGTCCATAGGACATTGTATATCTAAATATGCATAAATGTTAACTAGAAGACATTTTATTATTAAGCAAAGTGTCCTGAACATTGATCATTGCAAATTTAACATATATGAAACAATGAAAACCTTCTAAAACAGATAAAATAGGTTGTGGTACTTGTCCCTGCTCTGTAACACTACACTAAATATAATCTGACTCCATTTCCCATTTATGCTTTAAATAGTTTTTTCCCCATAATAAATTCATACTATTTTAGTTAAATACACATTTTAGTCATGTCCCCAGGTTTTCACTGTCCTGCTACCCGAACACATTCCCCCTTCTGAAAATTCAGAAGTCACATGTTCAACAACAAACTGCATCATCCAGGCATTCTGAAACTAGAGGTTTCTTAGGAAAGATTAGGAGTTCATGAATTTTTTTTTTAATTCTAGCTAAAACGTTGTAGTTTTTGCAGCTGAACCAAAACCAGTGTTTTATAGACAAGAATATTTTCAAGTTGGTTTGTGGTACTGGTAGTTAAAGCAGAGGTCTGAGGGCTTACATAATATTGTCTTCTTTTTGTCTTTGTTATCTTTCTTACGTTTTGTAGAAGACGGAGAAAACGGATACTGTACAGGAGCCAGAAACACCATCCCGTGGCATGCTGCGGGACAAGAAGCAAGACATACAGTACCTGCCACCCTCTCTCTCTCTCTCTCCACCTCTTTCACTGTGAAGAACATAGAAATCCAACACTCAACATGCATGCACAGCTGTGTGTACTCACACACACACTTTCCTGTTACCCAGTGTTCATTCCTGTTACTTCAGCTCAGAGTAATTTGGGCCGACTAGTCCTGGGCCCTTTCACCCATTCACCCTGCCTCTACTTGGCGGTGTATCACTACCATATGACGCCGATTAACTGTTGGAGGGTATGATCCTAATTTAGAAAGTGTATACAGACTGAAGTAAGCATAGAGGATATAACGGTACCCGCCCACATAGCACCAGCTTTAACTAAACTTTCCTCTCACCTAGCCAGTGCAAAAGCATGTACACACACACACACACACACACACACACACAGAGGAGCAGGAACTGCTGAGGAGCTACAGTATAATTACCTGCAACGGTAACTGTGCTGGAAACTGTAGTCACACTCTTTAGATTTACTTGCAGTTATGTACCATTACGTTGCATTACTGCATTCTTTTGTTTTGCTGTTTGCTTTGAGATACAAGTAAGAGTGTTTCAGGCTGGAGGACATCAGGGCCCCTGATAAGTAAACCTTATATGTAGAGTGTAAACTTTCTGCAGACCTACCGACACCGATGAACAGTTAAACGTCTAGGGGATGGGGGGGAAGACTTGGAACAATTTAATTTATCAGTTGAACCAACAGTTCAAACACTCTTATTTTTCAGGTCTCATTTCAAACACTTTGCCAAGTTTATCATAGGCAACATGTGTAGTACATTTTCAGAAAAAAAAATGCAGACCTGGGATTTTAGAGATAAGCAAACAACAACAGGTCATTAGAATTTATTCAGCATTTCTTATAGTAGAAGGAACAACTGTAAAGAGAAGGATAGGGAGGAAGGGGAGACCACAGTAAGCAGTAACATTAATACTGAATATGAGTATAAAGACACTCGGAAACAGCCATGCATGAGGGAGTTTCCTCGGTCCGAACTGAAGGAGGTTTGGGCGCAGGGGTTGTTGCAGGGACTCGATAAGTTTTACTCAGCCTTCACATAGTAACGTTTAGAAATAACGTTTCCAATTGTAAGTGTCTGTGGGTGAGACAGAAAGAAAGTTAAAATACAACAAACTCACACATCCACATGTTAAATGTACACACTTTGTGTGAACACTGACCAGTGTGAGAGTGTTGCCATCGACCTCCCTGACCAGACTGGTCTCTTTGCCGTCCCACCTCTGTATGTGCACCATCTTCCCATCTTCTATTGTGACAATGGACTGCAGGCAACAGAGAGACAAACGCATGTAGTTATTATACCTCAGTGTAAAGCAGATACAAGACACATCATCCCATGAATGAGTGTGTGGGCCATTGATGGAGCGTAACTATGCACGTTCACTCATTTTGATGTAGGTGTGCACTGTGTAAGTTTCTGTTTTACGATCATTTATACTTCTAGTTCGCTACTTTTCTAAGGCAAATACTGTAGATTTGCCATCGCTACATTAAATGTATAAACATACTGTATGTAATGTTTCACATTTAGAAGTAGTTACTGCAAAATCATGCAAAGTCAGTCAACTGACTCAGTAATGTCACTTATATCCTACTGTAATATCTACTGAATGTTTGCTAACAGCCACCGTAAGCTACTGATCACCGCAAGTCAGGCTGTAGCAGCAACACCCATGAACGTATTTAGCTGAGTAAGGGGTTTTAATCATGTTGATTCCGCTTTTATAGGGCAGCGTTTCATTTTCTCTTTTAAAACCCACATATTATCATTTTAAAGCACCAGTAACAATGATATATAACAATCTAACATTCACAGGGGTAAATGTTGGCAAAATGTCTTCCTGTAGTCACTGTACATCTGCTCTGCATATTTTGTGTATACAGTTTTAAATCAGACTAAGAAATTATGAGCCACAATGAGCCAGAAACAAGAATTTGTCTAGTTTGTGGCTTATTTCAATCAAGTGAATCTTAATATGCTCCATTTTTTTATTATCTGCACCCTCTTTGTCACAGAGTCTCCATCTTGAAATGTGACCTGTTCACTCTCCTCAATTCTTAGCACCGGGTTGGGTACTCCCAACAGCCCAAAGATATTCAGGTCAGGTTGACTGGCAACTAATTGCCTGTAGGTGTGAATGTGTGGTTGTCCCTATGTGTCAGCCCTGTGATAGCTTGTCAACCTTTCCAGGGTGTACCCTGCCTCTTGCCAAATGTGAGCTGGGACTGTCTCAGCACCCTGCAACCCTCTACTGAATAAGCAGTATTGATAATAGATGGATATACTTATGGAAATCTCGTCATTTTTAAAGTGCACAACGAGTTTTATACAGAGACTGGTTGTTAAAAGTCTTCATCTCAAAACGAACCACTTAAGCTTGAACTCTTTATCCAAAATAATCATTTAAAGGTTTAAACTGAGGCATTCAACCTCAGCCTCCTGTCTGAAGAAGCTGATCATTGGCCTCTCACCTTAACCTTCCTGTCGTCAGCAGTGGTCTCGTCAAACTCCTTTTCCAACTCGAAGGAGATCTCTGTGTTCTTGAAAGTGCTCTGGGTCTTTACCGTCACCTTTTCACCATCCACTGCGATAATAGTGGTGGGCTTTGTCATGCAGCCCAATTTACGTGTACCCAAGCCCACACCTGTAAAAAAAACAAAAAAACAAAACAAAATGGTGGTCAGACAATGAGCTGGGAGGGTGATACGGTATAAAAATATTGCCTTGATAATAAAACATTCACAAACATGGCTAGATGAATGCCAGCAGTAAATCTCTCCATAATTAATATTACCAGAGTCTGTATATTAAGTAGAAAATGTTTATAAATGTTTCAAGCAGTAGCTACGGATCTGCCCTCTGGGTTGTCTTGATCTGATGCAAGCTCTAATCTCTATTTGTCTACTGTCCTAAACTGCAGCATGTTCTTCAAACACTGGCAGGTCCCATTGACCTAATTGCTTGTCTCTACTTGTATGTGTGCAAATGATTACTTGCTTTTCTTTTAGGGTGCAGGCGTGTGTGTGTGTGAAACTGTTTGAGGGCTCAAGAAACTTATTTTCATTGGTTAACAGTGACACACACACCCTTTGATTCCAAAGCAGAAAATTTATACTTTTCCAGGCTGCAAATCTGGTTCATCTCTGAGAGCTGAAACTGCTACTTTCAGTACAACAAAAAGTCACTTTGTGTGTGTGTGTGTGTGTGTGTGTGCCTCATTGATCAAATGGATTAGGGCTAGAGGCTGCAGGGTCTGCGGTTTCTACGGGGACCAGAACAGACAGGTCGATGGCAGTATGGCTCTGGAGGTCACTGGGCAGGAATCACTCGACCCCACACCCACTCACACACACAAAGTCAAACAGTTGAGTGTCATTCTTCACAGTTGTAAAAGTCAGAGCACCTGCCCCCACCGTGTATACACACACTAAAACTGTGTGTATGTGTGTGTGTGTGAGAGAGAGAGAGAGATATTTTGAAGCCCATGTTATCTGTACATTCCCCATCCCATTAGCTCCTTGGTGCTGGGACCATCTTAATATTCAACTCCTCCTGTTGCCTCAAACAATGAACAGCTTTCAGCAGAGGTCACCCACATTATGCTTACGTGTGTGTGCTAATGTGCTACTGTGTGTGAGTGCATATTCCAGTTGCTTACCATTACATTTCTCACAGTGGGTTGGGTTTTCCTTTCTCCACTAAAAGAGGACCCCTCCCTCTTCATTCCCAGCACACAAGCCATGCGCTCAACCACTCTTCCTCTTTTTCCTATACTTCTGGTTCCCATCTTCTCTCGCGTTTTCTTTCTTTCTCTGTTCTTCATCCTATTTCAGCCCTATTTTTCTTCTACTCCTTTTTTCATTCTCCATCTTGGTTCCTCCCTTATTTGCCCCTTCATTGTCTTCTTCTGCCTTTATACCTTTGTTTCCCATGCCTTGCATAAACAACCGCTTAAACAGTTCACAAACATTCTAAAACATTCATCTTTCCTCAGCCCCATTTTCACGTGCTCACATGCAGCAATGGCAGCATTGCATCCTCTTGTTACACACGCATGCGCACACACTCACATACATCTACAATCCATACCAAATGCACACTTACCCAGCTCTTTCATGTATTCATCAAATTTTTCGCTTTCCTTGAGGTTCCATGTACCAACGAAGGCCTCAACCATGTCTGCAGTGGTGTGGAGGACTGAGGGTTTGAAAGACAGAGAGAGAATGTGAGGCGGCAAAGTGAGGCAGCGCAGAATGAAAGAAGTGGGGGGAGAACGAGAGACAGTGTAGTCAGCACCACAGGCTGTGCTGCAATCCTACTGGCTGGATTTATACCGGCTGTTCTTGATGTCATCAAGCAGTGCATGCAGTGCAGGGGAGGGGTGACGGGGGATGGAGACAAAGGCAGAGAGAGAGACATGCAATTTACTTGTTTCTGCAGAAATCACTACCATGCAAAGTATATCTGAATGTGTATTAGACTTTTTTTGAATGATCTGTTTGTATCAATTCTCAATAGTATTCTGTGTGGTGCACTAATGTAGTTGTAGAGCATAGTCTAGTGTACAGGTATGTGGTAGGGGGTTGATAGATTTTCTTTTTACAGGGGGCATTGAAGGTTGAACAGAACACCATGATACAGTAGTAGTTCTCTCTGCCCCTTTTCCTGCCTCACTAGGTTTCCTCTGCCTCTGGTTTTGTGCTTGTTTAACTTTTACTGACAAGAATATGGCATGCCAGAGCACAGAGGGTGACCAAAAACACACTTGGAAGCACACAAGTGCACTTGCACACTATGGCAGAGTGAGCTGTAGTCATAAGTGTGAAGATAAGGGTGTTGGAAGGTGAGTGCATGACTGCAGTGCTTACTTTGCGCACACACACACATGGAATGTTGTTTTTGATATTTAGGAGAACATTTACACTGACTTGCTATGATTCCCTGGAGACATATATTGAGTCTGAAAATGCCATCAGGACTATTTACTCCTGTTTGCCAGGCCACTGTTAGTCACATCTGTTGAAACCACACCCAGACATGTGTGTCAACCTTACTCCTGATAAACTAGATTAGCTAGAGGTTTTAAGTGTTGCACCCTTATAAATACTAAACATATTTTTTCCACAACTTTTACTTTGGTTGTAATTATTTAGTTGTACATATTTAATGTTATAGAGAAATACTTAGCGGTGCATTAACTAAGATGCCCTCCATGACAGTCTGTTGCCTACAGTGCTTGTGTTATTCCTTATTCTCTATTTCGTGTTGTCAAAATATCGTTTGTACATTATCATTAGCGTGCAGTCACAAACACAAATGTGCACACAACAAACTTCTCATTGGGAATTTTTAGAGTGAGCTGTCTCTCTGCTAGATGAAAGTCTCCTTTCTGCAAATGAGCTCTAAAAGTTGTGCAAAAACAAACATATATGAAAACACCCTGTCTCGCACACACACACTTATTGCTCTGAAACAGAAAAGGCTAGGATTCTGGAAAAAAGTCAGTGGTAAAGGCTGTTACATCACATGTTACACACCCATTTCCACTGCCCCTGGAATCCAGTGGCCCCTGTCTATTACTCTGTCTAAAATGGCGTGTGTGTGACTGAACAAACCTGTGGCATCCATGGGTGTGACATTTGACATAAAGTGGTGTGACAGAAACACGGAACAAGAGTGAGAGAGGAGGCGAAAGGTCAAAATCATTTGCATCTGGGCTAGAATACATTCCCAGGGTCAGGCTGTAGCTGTGTAAGTTTGTTTCAACATGTTTGTTTGATCTGATGCAATTCTGTGATAGATTGCTTTGGGGTGCCACAATGATCATAGCTCAGATTAAGTCTGATGTCCTCCAGCAGTTTCAGGCAAGAAAGTCCTTGCACATTTATATAACACTTGTATACAGGAGGATTTAGCTAAGCCATGCTACCAGTATGTAGCAGGACATTTGTATTAGCAGTTACATACATGAGAAACAGTTGTATCCTGTTTGTGCAGAATGTAGTTGCCTCACCTTGTTGACCAATGGTGTGATTATAACCACTATACTGTCCACATAAACCCTGCACAGCTTGTATTTGACCTTAACTCACAGGATGGTAGCCAAACAGGAATCTGTAAGTATGTGTGAACAAATGTACACTAAGCTGACCTCAGTAGGAAGCTGAAGAGGGTTGAATCCCTGAACAGCTGATGTACACTGAGAAAGCCATAAAGTGAGCAATGTTAATATTTCTTCCAGCTTTCTTAGGGCTTTTGTGCATATCTGTTTGGCGGTAAACAATACAACTAAATAAACATCTGGACATCACCACTCCCTTCTCTAACACACACTCATTCATTCATTCAGCAGCCTCTCTCTCTACTTCTCTGGTGGCAAATAATATGCACTCTTTGTCACTCATTAAATAACAAGGCTGAAAGTAAACTACAATGAAGGGGCGAAAGCTTGAACATCCTGATGACTGCATGACTCAGATGAATGAATGAATAGTACACTATTAAATGTATGTACTGGGCACCGCTTTTTAATAAGGCAGAGTAAATAAGCTGCAACTATTAATGTACTATGACTCATTTTAAGTTTATTCAAAGATAATTAAAAGGAGTTACCTGAACCTAGTTAGTCATTTTATAAGTTCTCAAAATGTAAAACTAACACAAGTTGACTAAACTACAAAAAAGTTGAGTTAACTTACATTAGGTTGAATTGACCACTCAGTCACACAGACAGTTATTACACACAAATCTGCTTCTTTTACATTGCTCAGTTTTACAAGTCTGTTCATGATTTGATGAAAAATGGACAGCTGCAGCTGCTGAAGGCATTTTGTTTCAGAGTTGAGACACAGACAAAGCTATTTCCAGAGACTGTTTAAGTGTCAGGGGTAAAAACTGGATTCAGTATAACCATGATTTAATATGTATTAAAGACACACAAGTATCCACCATCAAACTACAAAAAAGGAGAGTATCAGTTTTAATTCTTAAACAATGCATGTTGGAAGTCTACTAATATTTTGTTTCTTTAAAAACAAAGAATTTAAGTGACCTCTCAGCAAATCACAACATCTCAACTTAGAACAACCAATAAATAAAATGCCATTTATTGTAACAGTGGTTTCTGGCACACACTGAATAACTGCAGCATACTATTTGTAGGTGTGTGTTTTGTGTTACCTCTGCAGATGGGCCACGGACAGTATTCCTCATTTTGTTCTGTAAATCCACTTGGGAGCCAGCAACAACTTGAGAAAGAGAGAAAAAGGGAAAATGTCAGTCAAGGACACTGCATTCAATTTGTCAGATTTCCCTCCCTCCTCTTAAGAATTTCTGTGGTACAGAAAGTTGTTAGAATCAAACTGTGTCCTACCACTGCCTGCTGTTTAGAGACTTTCCAACCTAATCTCAAAATATACATCTGCAATGATGTAATGGTAACCTACATTGACTCATGTTTGTCTAGGTGGGTTGTTCTCCTAGGGAACCAGGTGGTGCATCTCCTCTCTGGCTGCAAGGAACTAATGTAGATGTACTTACCCCCTCTGCTGGACAAACACTGGTAGTGCACCATTAGTATATCTGCCTCCTCACAGGGCCTTGTTCTTCACATGTGACTTGTCTAACTATTTCAGGCTAAAAATCATCCTGTTACTTCCCGTGTGGCTCATGGAAAGCAGTGTGAAGATATTTTTTTTAAATCCTGGATGAAGTTATCTTGTGTTCACTTTTAAATAAGTGCAAAATAATTAAATCAATGTATTGTCTGATTGCTGACAACATCATTGCATTTATGTAGCAGTAACACCAAAATCTGCTTCACATTCATGTCTATATGAAATGGGGTGAGACACATTCACTTCCAGTCGCAAAATGACAACTCAAATTAACCTGTTCAACCTTCAACTCGTGAAACCGGTTAGAGTTTTGATCCCCACAGCTTGGTAGTAGATTCTGCGGGAAGTGAAGTCTGTTTACCCATAGATGTGCGTTTCCCTTTACCTTAACCTGAACCTAACCTTCACCCTAAACCCTCCAGTTTTGTGTTGCTTAACATGACCCCAACCTTAAGGTGTAGTCAGACCAAACTTTGCCTGGTGAAAGTTACTCACTTAATTGGTATAACCAAAGGCAGGAGGGAACCAAAAATAACACTGGTAGGGTTGTAAGCATAACCTGCAAGAGCTATCATGGCTTGTGGTCTAAACAACAATTGTCCATCAAGTTTAAAGATACATTTCACTCTGTAACTTTTGTCAGTGTCAGCTTATGGTGTCAGTTTGATTAGACTCACTAGACCCTCTAGGGGCTCAAAGGAATTTAGTCAGAGAACCTTTAAAGTCTTATTTATTCAGCATTTGTTTCTGTTTGTTTCCAGCATAATGTCACAAGAAGGAAAGCTACTTTAATTCACCAATAATATAATTGAAAGGTCCCTGGTTCAATTCCTGCCAGGGACCACTGTTTCATGTCACCCCATCTCTTTCTCCCCTGGTTTCCTCAGCTCTCCACTATCGCTGTGTTAAAGATGTTTAAAAATGTTTAAGAGTAACACAAGAAAAACACCTTAAATAAAATAAATATAGGGGAAATAAGAAATAAATGATTATGGAATAAGAATTGTCTGCTCTTTAGTTTTCAGTTTTCAAAACACACCCACTATTAAGTCTCAGTGGTGGGCCTAGGATAAGGATCCGGAACAGGAGCTCTTGCTTCCTGATCCAATATTAACAGTATCCTTGGAGACAGAGCCATGAGGGGCAGTGTAATAAAAGATCACGTTGACACTGTGGTTGTGTTAGTGAGTGTTTTTCTGTGTGTGCGCAGCAGAACACTGGATTCCATTAGTGAAACTGTGGTAACTCTTGGTGAGACTGACAGCTCCTCTCCTCCCTGTGTCACCACAACTTTCACTCAGTCATTGTGATATAAAAGGTTTAGTGCAAGTATTCTGGGCTTTCCCCCTCCCCTTTCTCTTTATCTTTTCACTATCTCTTGAACTGCAATAACATAGGAACAGGTTTTAACAAGGGCAATAGCCACCACTGACAACACACTAGTGAGTTATGCCCTCTAAGTTTTTGCAGGTTTTAATCCTTAAGGGGGAGTTTGCTTTTTACACACAAATGGGCTTTGTTGTGGGTTTGTAAGGCTTATTCATTTTCAAGTAATTTTTGGATAGTGAAAGTAGAGATCTGTCAGGAAATAAACAGAGAAGAAGGGCAATGAAATGAAAATACCCCAGTGTTTGAAAATCTTTTTAGCCTACGGGCACTTAAAATGAAACATGTACTCACAACCCCTCATCACTGGTTGCATAGTCTACCCGTTATATCCAGAGGGTCCAAGGGCTGATTTTTTCCTGCATTTATAAGAATCAGTCATTTCTCCAGAGTCCTGAAGAACAGTTGCCCAGTAATTTACAAAAATAAAGCAAAGACTAGATGAGTCTATGTAGTAGAACTTGTACTTTCCTTTACCATTAATCATATGAAGGCCCTCAATGTATCTTGCAACCCCTTTTGGACCTCACATTCCTGCAGACTCATTTGTTGCACTAAAATTTGACTGTTCATAAATTTAAACTGGAATTACCGCCTCTGCCAACCAGTCAAGTTTAATTTTACATGCATGTCTGTCCAGACTCGTATGATATATGTAGCAAACACTTTGAAAGAATTTAATAAATGATATTAAGTGTATTTAATTTGTAGAAATTCTTTTAAGGCATTCATCAAGATACCTCGTACACAAGATTGGGACAGACATGAGTTCACAGTGGCCTTTAACCTTTGATCTTTGGCCACCAAAATCTAATAAAAGAGCCTTTAGCATTTATACATACCTGTCGATGTGCAGAGGGGTTTGAAACAGACGTCAGTCCAGTGGAATGCAAACAGCAGCCCGTGGGCCAGATGAAGTCCTGCAACAAAACACTGGCTCCCTGGATGAAAGTTTTTCCATTCAAAAGTTAGGTCAAAACCGTTACATGATTTCTCATCAATCTGCTGGAGGTAACAATGTAAATACAAGATTCATGTAAGTCCAAATAACTATGAAGACCTAGTACCATTCAATTATAATAAGCAGTGATTTGATGGTGTCATTTCTGTCACCAATAGGTGACAGAAGCAAAATAATAATAATTTAAACGGCAAAAAGAACAGAAGGTTGTCTGTAAATGATGCAGGCCACTATTGTTCATTGTGTATTGTGTGTAGTCTCAAAGTGCAACACATAACATATACAGTATCCTCATACCAGATATTATCACCAAATGATTAACATAAGCATGTAAATGTTAGTCCTGACATATGAATGGGAAACAAACTATGACTTCAAACACAATCAAGCAAAAGTTTAATGTATAGTATTGCGCTTAAATACAGAAGGTTGTCTGTAAATGATGCAGGCCACTATTGTTCATTGTGTATTGTGTGTAGTCTCAAAGTGCAACACATAACATATACAGTATCCTCATACCAGATATTATCACCAAATGATTAACATAAGCATGTAAATGTTAGTCCTCACATATGAATGGGAAACAAACTATCTATGACTTCAAACACAATCAAGCAAAGGTTTAATGTATAGTATTGTATGTATGTATAAATATTTTAACAATTACAGCAGTGATATTACAAACCAGTTTCTCCACTTCACCTAGCCCAATTGCTCACACCTGCTTACTAATTAAACAAACAAACAAAAGTCAAACAATTTAGACAATTTTACAAACATCTATTTCTGTATTAGGGAAGTGGGTTGTGTTGGGAAGTTTGGACTTAGGATTTTTAAAATCGTAGCATCGGCCTTGTTTTTACACCTTCCACCCAAACTCATCCCAGTTAACGTTAAATATTGTAGTTGTTTTACTGTTTTTGGCCACATACACGGACAAAAATGTTCATTCGGTAGGCCTACACGATAGCCTAGCCATTTTTTAAACGGAACCTTTTCACAGTATCAATAACAAATTGGCCTTATCTTGGGTTAAGCTGGGTTAAGGTACGCGTGTGACATATGGCCTATCAAATCGCTATAGCCGCTAAATCAGTCACAGGTGTGTTGTTGTGTAAGAGCAGCAATGTTAATGTAGAGGTGTGCTTACCTCTATTCACTTCTCTGAAAACTTTCACAACAAACTCCCTCGCACATAAACTCGTTTTTCATTAGCGTCAAAACTCACAAAATGAAACCAAACACTTCCGGTCAGGTCGTTCAAATTAAAACCTCATTGGTGAACATAGCCAAGCACTTAGCCTAGCTATTTTGAAGCATGTTGATAAGTGAAAATAAAAAAAATATGAAGTAGATGACAACCACTTATTATTTCGAAAGTATTCTGCTCCATAGATAGGACGCCCACAACACAATATTAAAAATATTTGTTTTGATCGCAAAATCACACAGCTTCCCGTGCTTCTTTTCTTAATCATTCAACTTGACGTGTATCCATGGCAACCACTGTAGCTACAGCAGGTCCGGTCAGCTCACAGCACATCCCGTTACTTTCCCCAGAGGATATGACAGCAACAACTTGTGTAGAAATAAAACTAAATAAAACATAAGTTCTACTGAGTTGATTTAAGTCATGTGTTATTTTTGAAAGGCATGACTCCCTCCCAGAGAGCCCGGTATGGATGCGAAGCGGCGCGTAACGCTAAATGGAGAATGGCGGGTGAGTCGATGATCAGATTGAATGGATTTTACTACAATTAAAATAAAACTTTACCGAGTGTTACACTCCGTCTTTAACCTGGGATGACTAACTTATCTGGTAGGCCTATACATTATCTAGACTATAGCCTACATACAAATTTAAAGACTGTGGCCCCACACGAGCCTTGAAAAATGTAAAATATGATGTAGGCCTATCTGACCAGCCACACCACATCACCTCCACACACAGTGTACACAAAGACCCTTAAGCTGCCAGGGTCCTCAAGAAAAGGCTAATTCAGTTTGTCTAGACATGCCATAGCAGGATCTTTATGACAGGCTTAAGCCTCAGGACTTGGGAGATTCTCTGTGCCCACAGTGAAAGGTTTCTTTTTTATTGTTATTGTGTTAAAATGTCTGTGCTGTTGCTCACTCTCAAGAGGGCAGTAGTGTCTTGTTAAAAAGGGGACGATGGACAAATTCCAGGTATAGGGTCTTGTGTTACTGTATGTTGTTCTGCATGTGGAAAAAACAACCCCCCACTGACTGGACAGATAACATCTCTCGGTCTCCCTCAGTGCCAGAAAGTGAAACATCAAAGATGCTGTGTGTCCCTAATGCTTCATTAATCATGTAGATTCAGTGGAGTCCTAACCAGGTCATGCAAGCTTTTGTTTAGGTGTGTGCATGTGTGTGTGGGTTTGCATGACTTAGGGAAGCCTAAATAATTCAACCAAGGTGCTTGAAGAATCTCAAATGGCCCTTTCTCTCCATGTGATGGAAATCACTCAAATCTGATCAGCTGGATTTGTTTTCACACACACACGGGCTCACTTAGAATGAGGAACTTATGTTGTGTTAGTTATGAGTTTTCTTTTGAATACAAGTCTAGAGGAGACCCTCCAACAGGGTGATGACATCAGCGTTGATAAGTACACTTATGTCTTTGTTCTTCCACCCCTGCCCTCATCTCTCCCTGCTTCAGCTCCTCCTGTGCCCTTGCTGAAGCGTGCGGGTGGGGGACCCCAACCATGGGCCATTCATCCCCACTCTACAGGACAGGTCTCCAGGTCCCACTTCCCACCTCCTCCTCCTCCTCACCTCCCTGTCTTCCATACGCGCCATGCACAGGAGAGCGCAGACCGACCCCATCTGGTCACCATCATCCGTCCCTGTGCTCAGAGTACACCGCGAAAGGTGAATTTAGTATTTACAATTTCAACTAAACTGTTCATAAATATATTACAAAGGTTAGTTGGAAGGCCTTAATAAGAGCAACTCTTGATTAAGAGGTTGTGAAAAATCCATTTCGATGGTGTTTCCTTTCTGTTTGGTAATAATGCAGTTTATATATATATATTTTAACACAAGTCCTCATGGATTTTCACTTTCTGAAAATCCATTACACATGCACTTGTTAATAAGTGAACAAATGGATTTTTGTCCTGATTCTTGATAGGTCTTTTCTAGAAGAGACCTAACAGTGCATAGGAGGGGTTTTCCTGATCAACTGAAGGGCTAAAAAGATGATGCTTGAGAAGGATAAACACCATCCGAATGACAACCCAAACGTAGTTCTTATTAATATCTTAAAATTTATTTTAAAGCATTACTAACTGATGTATTAACCAGTAATAAAGTTACAAACTCTAAACCCTTAATGAAGGGTTCTTTATTAGAAAATGGTAAGAAACGTTTGATTTAGAGCAGAAAGAATATCATAGCTACTGTTTTCTCTTTGTTTTCAAGGTAACAGTGCTGTTGAACCGCAGGGGGGTCGTGTCCTTTGAGCAGCTACTATTGGATATCTCGGAGGCACTGGGGTTTCCTCGCTGGCACAGAGCCAGAGTCACACGCCTGTACACAACCCATGCACGAGAGGTGAGGCTCAGCCATGGCCACATTAACCTGCATAGGAACCCTGTGGCAAAAATGAACTGATGAACTGCCTGGCCCCAGGTTTGCAGTGAGGTAGTAAGAATATGAAACATGTAATCAGAAAACCAGAATAACGAAGGTCTTATTAAAACTAGAGTTTGACACCAGAACCCTCTTCATGACAGGGCTTCAAGACTGGATAATAAAGTGGTACTTTAGTGTGGTCCCACACAAAAATTCAATTAAACTAGCTCAAACAAGCTGACGCACACTACCACTAGAGCTTTTAAGGCCCCTTGCTTTGCCCAGTTGGTAGTTCAGTCTTGGTCTAAACACACCTAATGAACTGATCTTCATCTGACAGCCATCCATTGACCTGGGTAGAAATAAAAGGGATATGCTGACACTATCTTAATGGGGATTTAGAAATGTCATGTTATCTCCTAGGAGAGCATTTGGACACTCAGTGAGGAGACAAAACTCATGAACTGATCTTCACCTGACAGCCATCCATTGACCTGGGTAGAAATAAAAGGGATATGCTGACACTATCTTAATGGGGATTTAGAAATGTCATGTTATCTCCTAGGAGAGCATTTGAACACTCAGTGAGGAGACGAAACTCCAGTTATGCAAATTTAAATTATACATTTGAGCACCTTGTCTCTTCCTCCACCCTTTTTGCCAGTATGCTGCTATACATGTTAGGAAGAGGAATGCAGATTGAGATTGAACTACCAGACTCTTTGTCACAATAAACTCTAGTAAAATTAAGTGTTGGCCCTTCTTGAAGCACTGTTTACTCCAGGTCAGCATTTCTTTTAGAATAGACAGAAAGATATTTTGCTTTTGCTCTACATCTAGGTTTTTGTGATAATAAACTAAAAGAGTACAATCAAAATTTTCATAATAAAAACAATAATTTGTGGATTGGGTGTAGCAGTTGATTCTAAACACTGTCTTGTGGTCCAGATCTGCCCTTTCTTTTATTGTCATTCTTTTGTTTGTTTGTTTTTTTGTTTCATAGGTGAGGGGTGTGTGTGATTTCTTCAGGGGCGAGGTGGCCTTCCTGGCACTGGGTGGGGCCCGTCCAGAGCTGGGCAGTGTGAAGGAGGCGCTTGAGGAGCTGTTTCCAGATCATTCTCATTACCGCACTGATGCGCTGCGAGCCTGGGAGAAGAGACTACGTCCAGCACCAGATAAAGCAACTAAGGCTGACAGTGGATACAGTGAGGGGACACACAGCACCGCGACCAACCAGGAAACATACCAGAACACAAATACACATATCAAGAATCATACTAATACACACACACCTCACCATATAGTCACACACCAGCTGGAACATCATAACTCAGATGTTCAGAAGTCTCATAAAAAGAATTCTTGCAGAAAGCTGGCTCGCCTTCCCAACCACCTGCAGAGACTGCATGTGAGGGGTGGGGTCCAAGAGTCTTCTGCCATTGGCCCATTTAAACATGAGGAAGGTTTTAGAGAACTCGACATATTCTCTCCTAAACTGTGTGAAAACTGCCTGGCAATAATAGCTAAACAACAGCATCCAGAATGGGAATATCCATTTTCAGGGAGGGTCCCACTTCCACCTGTGTTGAGAAAGCAAAAAGGAAGTTCTCATACAGAACAAGAGGTGATGAAGCTTGATGTTCCTCTCAGCCCTCCACCTCCTCAGCCAATCAGCACAGATGAACAAAAGAGTCCTGTGCAATTACAAATTTTAAATCCACTTCCAGATGTGGGTCCAGCACATAACATACAGTCAGATATACAGCCAAAAACGACCTTTGACCTTCCCTCAGATGGCAGTGATGTTACATTGTCAGACATTGAGCGTTGCTATGAAATAGGACGTGTGGTTGGAGATGGGAACTTTGCAGTAGTGCGAGAGTGTTGCCATCGTGACAGCAGACAAACCCTCGCCATGAAGATAGTTGAACGTTCCAAGCTGATTGGTCGAGAGCACATGCTGCAGAATGAACTGAGCCTTCTGGGTAGCCTCTGTCACCCTCGCATAGTGCGGCTGTTTACACACCACCACACACACACTCACTCCTACCTGGTGATGGAGCTGGTGAGCGGGGGGGATCTGTTTGAGGCCATCGCTGAGAGGGGGAAGTTTTCAGAGGCAGAGGCAGGACTGATGGTGTCGGATATGAGTGAAGCTCTAAGTTACATTCACTGCAGGAGCATCGTCCACCGAGACCTCAAACCAGAAAACCTACTGGTGAGTATTATGGTTAGTGCAGTGTTAACTTTGGCACCTCTTCTTTAGTCGTTTGATGAAAATGTGTGTTAGTTTTGGTCAAATTTGACTCATTTGTTTTTTTTTTTAGTTTTAAAATCTGAAGATACGTATTTTAGTCTAGTTTTCATCAGTGACATTTTAGTGTGCGTTTATAAAATGTATACCTTCTTTATATCTTGAGGCTACAGCTATCTCTATCTTTGTTGTGTACAGTTACCATGGTTACAGGTGTTGTAATAAAGGCTGTTTATATGTTCACACATTGGGAAAGACATATTCCCCACACTGTCTGACAGACCACACAGTGGCCTCATCATACTGTACAATTCACATTATACATTATTTTATGTAATGTACAGTTTATATCGTCAACATTTAGCAAAATCTGAAAAACATGAAAGTTTTAGTCACAAGCCTCTCGGCCTTATGGGCAACTACTGTATGTGGGTGGCCCTGGAGTTGCTTTTAAAAACATATTCTTCACTCTGCTTCCCTTCTTGTTCTCTCACAGATAGAGCAAGAGGCTGGTGGCATCTGTAGGTTGAAGTTGGGAGACTTTGGTCTTGCCATGGTCGTGACTGAGCCAGTCTTCACCATATGTGGTACACCCACATATGTAGCCCCAGAAATTCTCTTTGAAACAGGTTAAGTGTTGTTTGCTGCAGTATCAATCACTACTTTACTTTTACTATTAATTGTCTTTTATCTCAAAATGTGGGTGTTATTCTCTATTTGAAAACTTCTCTTTCTTTATCACTTTTTTCTGGATATGAGTAGTTTTTTAAATTCTAAAAACAACTGTTGTTTGACTGGCCAGGTTATGGTGTAGCAGTGGATGTATGGGCACTGGGTATTATTCTCTATATCCTGCTGTGTGGCTTCCCCCCATTTCGCAGTCAGGATCGGGACCAGGAGGAGCTCTTCCAGCTAATAAGACAAGGACAACTCCACTTCCCATACCCCTACTGGGACCCCATTGCAGAGGGTGAGAACAGAAACACACTGCATGCTCACACAAATGTCAATACATACTGTATGTACCCATATTCATATATATAAATACACAATCTATTTTGTATGCAATGTTCTGTTTTTGAGTGCAGAAGCCAAAGGCCTTGTCAGAGCTCTGCTTCAGCCAGATCCCACAGTGAGGCTGACAGCAGAGCAGACCCTGCTGCATCCCTGGGTGAAGGCTATGGCTTCAGTTTGCAGGCAGGGGGCGCTCACAGACAAACCTCAGAAGAACACAGCAGATACTGGAGTGGAACCAGAGAGAGTCCAGAGACCAGCTCAGATCAATGCAGCAGAAACAATGACAGGATACACCAGCAGCAAGGGAGAAGTCACACACAAAACACTCAGCAGAACTGATGGGGGACAAAGTGAGATGACCACAGGAAGAGGGAAAAATGAGGACATACCACCACAGCAACAATCAAAAGAGACAAGTACAGTCCACAGCATTTCTCCACTGATTAAAGTGCATACGGCGTCAGAGGCCACACCTTGAACAAAAACCAGAGTGCACCTCTACAGACTCTGGCTTACCCAGCAGGGAGCCCAGCTGCAGGCGAGAAATACAGAAAGCAGGTCCCAGGGTGTCAAGCACACATATCCAACAGCCCTAACAGCTCGAGTGTTGAACTCAGTCGTCTCAATGGCCCCACAGCCCAAACTGAACTTCCATCCTAAAGAATTGAAACAAAAGAGCCACCTACAGATTCACAATCCTCAGCTAGCATAGCAAGCCAAACCACAACCAAGACAGCGCCATCTTCATCACACCCTCTCCATCAGCAAAACTCCTTCCGAGAACCATGATGAGTCCAGGGTTCATACCACCATCAGCCCCACACACACACACACACACACACACACACACACACACAAACTCTTTACCCATGTGATTACATCAAGTCATCACTTTCATTGTTCTGGACAATACCAATGATTTCTTGGCAGCTGGAAGCGTGAATGACCCACAGATAATGTGATTTACTCTTGGGACTAAATAGCATCTGATGGGCTAGATAACTATCATAAGTGTGTTTAGCCCATTTATCCTGCAATCATATATTGACCAGGAGATGTATAAATGACCTAGTTACATGTCCAGCTAGGACTGTAAGAGGATTCAGTTTGTCTTTAAACTTCACTTTGTCATTGTTTCTAATACTGTGTAGAATCCATGAAAAGACCTTTTAGCAATTTTCTGAAATGTTTTTGTTCAGTTCTCTGCAAACCCAGTTTTATTGTGAGGATATGATACTGTGTGTTATCATGTTTGTCACTCCTAGTAGAAGGTATTTTTGACTCTACTACTCTGTACGATGAAACTGACTCCTAGAAGTCCATTCCTAGAGGTTTGTTTGGGACCATTTATCTGGCAACATTTCTTTACTATATAGTATGATCATAAGATAAAAAATATCTGTATCGAGAACTTGTATTTTAGTCATAGTAACAATTTGCCATAGCTACCATATTCTATGTGAGTGTTTAGTCAACACATTTTGTACAAATAAATGTGCGGTAAGACCCAGTGGCTTATTATTGGGAACAGCCCAGCTTTTGTGTGTGACCCCCACAGGCTACAGCTACTGAGTAAACTGTGTGTGCATAGTTGAGCAGTAGCCCTGTGGCTCCCTTGCCATTCCACACAGACCAAATAAGGTATATCTATCTGTCCAGTGGGTGTGTTTACTCCTGTCCTTCATAGTCACTAACAGCTGACACTGACATGCTGCCCCACCTATTACCCCCTCACCCACAAAAACCCTGTTATACAAGCACCTCAGCCCTTGAGGGTAATAAACTATATATTTGGCATGAAAAAGCTTACAGATGCTTCTGACCTTTGTTTTTCTAGCTTAATTATTTATGCATTTATAACATGCACAAACACAGGGTTCCTTACAACCAGTTGAACCACTTCGACAGTAACAGTACAGGGCCATAAACATGGTGTCAGCATACCAGAGCAGCAGGAACAGGGTGTTCGTGTGTGTGTGTTTTGATTTTTCATTAAGTTCTCTTGAGATTCTGGCCGCAGGGGGGTGACAGTGTTATTTAAGTGTCATTAAAGTTTTATAATATGTTCATGTGGCTTATAAAAAAAAAAACAAAAATGCTTTAAGGATGCTTTATCCGCTGGAGTGGCCTAAATTTGTCGCATATCAGCTTTTGGCCACCTCTCACGTCCTGCCACTCACTGACCCGCAGGTGCTCACCACGCATGCGCCCGTAAAAACTTTAAATACCCCAAGTCATCTGCCACAACAAAACATTCCGCTGTCAGCCAATGCAAGGCCCCACTAAAGTATTTACTAGCACATATGGGCCGTAACATATGCATGCCAAATATTACTTTTAAATACGCAACTTCTGTTATTAGCCAAGATCGAGAGCCTGCTTAAGTAATAACAAATTTGACCCGGAGTCGCAAAGGCAGTGCAGGGCGAAGTCGGGGGAGACGGACAGGAAAAAACAAAGATGGCTGTGTAGTCAGAGAGACGAGTCCCAGTAGAACTGTCTCTAGGCACGATTTTAATCACCGACAAGTCCTGTGAGCCCCGTGGACAGCCAGACGGTACAGGAGCAGGGACGTTAGACGAGCAGTGGAGCCAGGTCGCTGGTGCACATCATTGTAATCTGCTGTCATTGCGAATAACGGCGTCGAGAGTACAACAACAGCTGAGAGGCGACTGAGTTGTTTTTGTTCTGCCTGGGCAAAAGGAGAGGACTGCTGTGTTTGTCAACGTAGCTAGCCGAATAGTCTGCTAGCCGCACTGTAAGTCAACAAAAATAGTCCACATTTAATTTAGTTACAATTAGATTTTGCTCATGATCTCGTTATTACATAGTAATTGGCTTGTTAAATTCCGAGTTCGGAAGTATAGGGATCATTAATAACAAGTTAGCCTGCATCCCTGTCTGACAGCCTGCTGCCGTAGCGTTAGCCTAGCTAACGTTAGCTAGCTGTCAGCTGACCGTTAGCTCGACAAGTTGCAAGCTAACCTGCTAATATTTCGGGCTTGGCCCGGTCGCGGCAGGTTCATCTTAGGCAATTTTAGGCAGTCACCGCCATGTCTTCACTGGAAGAGAGAGACGTGGGCGTTGCGGCCGCCCCTGGCTCCTCCTCGGCCGGCTTGGGGGTCGGGGCCGTGGGGGCAGCGGTGGAGGCTGTCGCCGAGGTCGCAGCCATGCAGGAAGAGCTCGGGATACGGCGAGAAGGGCCCGAGCCTGACCCAGACGAGCCACCCAAGAAGAGGGTGAAAGTACCCGAGGGAGAGTCAGGAAAGCTGGAGGAGAGACTGTACTCGGTGCTGTGCTGCACCGTGTGCCTAGACTTGCCCAAGGCGTCTGTTTATCAGGTAAACGCGGTGTCAATCACAACCCTTCCCCCTCATAGCCCCTAAACCTACCGTGAAACAACAGCAAACCAGCTGGATCTCGTACTAGTAACTCCTCATGTGTCCAAACCCCCAACCCCCAATGGCAACCTGTTGAATGCGTTGGACGGCTCCATTTATTTTTAGTGATTCTAGATCCAGCACAGGCCCAAGTGTCTATACTGCCGATTGAGCCATGAGGCTGAGATACCAGACACGCCAGGGCTGGTGGTCAGCTGTGCTGGATCAAGTTTGTAACATTATACTGTAAATTATCCTCAAATAGCCCCCAGCAAAAGCCCAATACCCAGCCTACCCTCCCAGAACGCAAAAGTCCAAAATTCACCAAATATCTACATTTGAATTCTATATTTCCATGCCCTTCAGCCCACCCCTATTCTCCTTAATGACCTCAAAATGTCAACACATTTGTAATTAATCATTAGTCTTAAAGCAAGAATAACATGCCCTATGCAGCACACACATTTGAATAGTTATATAGCATTTATTAACAATAGTGTAAACACAAGTTGATATTCTTTCCAAACAATGTTCTGTCCTTAACATAAGCACATGTTAGGACACATAATTAGACAAGCACAATCAGTAAATAACACTATACCTGTAAATGAATTTCCCATAGCATTTGGCTGCTATTCATGTAGGGAAGTTCACAATTCCAACCCTCTCTCCCCCATTAAAGAGTATTTTTAACATTGAAATTTTGACGTGAGGGCTTTTTAGTTGTTAGTTTGTTGTTGGGCAGCTTTAGCCAATTCCTTCTTATGACCTACCTACAAATCAAATAGACTAGAAGGAAATATGCCTAGCCAAACATTTAACGACATTTCTCTTAATAATACGTTTTAATTTGGATTTAAGCTATAGTTTCCGTTCATAAACATTTTTAATATCTATTTTAAGTAGTTTTAATCATCTTAAAATATACCACCATTGGTGTCATAAATTATGTTGGAATTTTTCCTCATAAAGTTTGTCAAGAGAAAACAAACAAGTATTCCAGTTTTCCTAGTAAGTTTTTTCCAGATTGCACTGCTTAAATATTTTTGCCCCTTCCCATTTAAAAATCTAGGTTGTTTTCTCCACTTTCCTAACACACTTAACACCTAACAGTGACCTGTTAACATTTTCTCCACCACAGTGTACCAATGGACATCTGATGTGTGCAGGCTGTTTCATCCATCTCCTGGCTGATTCTCGTCTCAAGGAGGAACAGGCTACATGTCCCAACTGCAGGTACTGTACACCGGAGTCCACTGAAGACGTGAGCATTTCCTGAGCAGTGCACATAGAAATTCAATCTAGCTACCCCACTGAAATTAGTTACACAGTTAGTTAATTAGTTAGTTAACGATTGTAGTCATGGGGTGGACATGAACATTGTTTTAATGGATTTTGTAATATAAAGTATGGTTATTTGCTTATATATATGCATTTTCTCAGGGTTCCTAGACTGATGTGATATAACTGTACTGTGAACAGCTGACATTGGGCAAGAGGTGGGCTACACCCTGGACCGGTCACCAGTCTATCACTGGATGACATGAGAGAACCTACGCAGGCACAGGGAGAACATGCAGAAAGGCCCCGTTTTGGCCTGGGCTCAAACCTGGAACCTTCTTGTTGTGAAGCAACAGCGCTAACCACCACGCTGCTGTGCCGCTTCCCCTGACACTCAGCTTCAGATACTTTAGATGAGATACATTTTGTCAAACTAAACCAGTGGTTTTACAACAGAATTTTCTTTCAGAATTACTTTGGCATTTGTCACTAATGTACGGTCGCAGCAAAAAAGCACTTCATGAATTTGCACCGCATAGTTCCACAATATATGTTGAAATTATCACCAGCAAATGAGAAAAGTACAGTATGACTTAACTTTTCCACTGCTAAGACAGCTACTCATGGTTGCACATTGTTCACAAACGTGTATCCTACATGCAACAAATATTATATATACCCTTGCACTGAGGTATGACTCGTGGTTTTCTGTGTTTGTGTAGGTGTGAGATCAGCAAGAACCTGTGCTGCAGGAACCTGGCGGTGGAGAAGGCTGTCAGTGAGCTGCCAACAGAATGTACCTTCTGCCTAAAACAGTTTCCCCGCTCCAGCTTAGAAAGACACCAGAAAGAGGAGTGCCAAGACAGGTATACACCATACACACTATACACAGTGACACTTTTTTGAAAGATAAAAAGTCTACCATACTTGTAGTCAAACACTCCCAATCAGTTTTTCCAAAACTATCAAATCCTGAGATGCTTCCTGATGCCAAAGAAATGAAACAGAAATATGAAAATGGAAGCTGTGCACATAGCTGATGCACACATAAATGAATAGCTCACCAGTATAATTGTATGTACATCTGGTAACCAGCACAGTATTACAATGGGTTAATTTGAGGAAGATGGAGGCGCACATGACCTTCTCCAAAGAGAAAAACAGCTGATGTGATTACAGGCTGTGCATTTCATGTGAGAAATGCTCAGCCCGTTTGAATTTGCTTGCATGAAATCCTGTGGGATTGTTACCAGAGCAACAGGTGACCCTGCATGCGACAGCGTTATCCATGCTAGTGTTGCCTTGACAACAGGCATGGCAGCCACTAGGTGTTTTTGGCTGGGTTAGCCAGATGAAAGTGCAGGTCTGGCTGGCTGTAGCATGGTATTATCTCCAGGAACGCCATATGCACATTTGAATATGAGATGAGTATTTAATATGTAGTAATTACCATCAGTGATTACAGGTATTTTACAATACTCTGATGTAGTGGTGATTTCTGTTGAAATGCCTTAGAGCAAAATGCATAAGACATAAGACATATATATGCATAAGACAAACCTTTGCAGTTATCATAAGGTAAATTACATCAGTGAGGTTTTAATTATCTTTGAGTCACTGCCAAGGCTAACTAGTACATTCACATTATTAACGCCTCACCTTTACTGTGATAAAGTAACAGGTATTCATTGAAAAGCGCTTCTGTCCAAGAGGTAACTGATATGAATCCATGTCATTCTTTCCTTGAGGTTGGCTCTCGGTGAACACTTATCATTACTATGGTAATAATTAGCCTCGGTTCACAACCTAGGTTAATTAGTCCCTTTGGTATTATCAGTACTTCCTATTCAGTGTAACAACATGCATTCATCACACAGGTCCTCTAAAAGGAACTAATCTCTATAGAGCCACATCTTTCCTAACTCACTGTTGCCATTATGTTGCCAGGGTGACACAGTGTAAGTACAAGAGGATCGGCTGCCCCTGGCAAGGTCCGTTCCATGAGCTGCCAGCACATGAGAGTGAGTGCTCCCATCCCACCAAGACAGGTACAGAGCTGATGGGAATACTAGGAGAGATGGACCAGAACCACCGTAGAGACATGCAGCTGTACAACAGCATCTTTAGCCTGCTCTGCTACGAGAAGATTGGGTTTACAGGTACATACATAAAGACAACAAGAGTGTGGAAATGTGACCATGAACTTTAGGAGAGATTACTAAAAAACTGTTATTTTAACGTTCTGTTTCCCTCTTTTTCTCCACATATGGCTTCTGTCCCTGTTTCAAATCTTGTCTTCCACTTATATGTCCATCTAGAGGTGCAGTTCAGGCCGTACCGCACTGATGACTTTATCACTCGTCTGTACTATGAAACACCGCGCTTCACTGTTCTCAATCAGACGTGGGTGCTGAAGGCCCGTGTTAACGACTCTGAGCGCAACCCCAACCTCTCCTGCAAGCGCACCCTCTCCTTCCAGCTCATCCTCAAGAGCAAGGTACACATCACAGTGTCTCTCCGTGTTTATCATTAATGTTTCAATACTTGTTTTCAGGGCTAAAGACATGACCACTAGTCTCTGAAAGTTTGGAACTGGTGTGATACCTTACAGAGTGATGTTCATCTGTTTAGTTACCTGAACCGAGGAGCATTTTTGCTGCTAATTCTGATGATGCTGTCTAGAATTGATCTGTTTGTGATCTCTGTTATAAGTTATTTCCTTGATTAATCTGAGTCAAATTTAAATCAATTCTTTACTCAACAAAACAACCTAGCATGAGAAGTTAGAACAATAGAAAATTTGAAAAATTACGTTATCTAAATAACTGCCAGAAAACTGACAGATTACTTCAGCTCTGAAATGACAGAAAGCTGAAATACCAAAGATAATATATGTTTGAGGTCATTTAAATGTTATGAGTATTACATAGTTTGTCCACCAGAGAGCACAGACAAGTTTGATTTTCAGCTGAAATATGTACACATCTTGGTTGCAATAATCAAAAAAGTTGAGGGGATCGTCATCAAAAGATTTTCTTTACCTTGTGTTTATGGGAAAACAGCTACCAGTATATTAAACTTCTATCTTAGCTGGCTTTTGGCAAACTCTCAAATACTGCCTGTGCAGGTGAACTCTGCCCTGGAGTGCTCCTTCCTGCTGCTGAAGGGGCCGTATGACGACGTGCGGATCAAGCCAGTCATCCACCACCACTCCTTCAGCAACGATGCTAACGAGACGGACTACGTCCCTCTGCCCATCTCCGATTCGGTGGAATGCAACAAACTGCTGGCCGCCAAAAACATCAACCTGCGCCTGTTCATCTTCCAAGTCCAAAAATAAAGACTGAGGGAAGATGATGAGGAGGAGGAGGAAGAAGAAGAGGGATGATGGAAGGCGAGGAGCAGAGAGAGAGAGGATGTGATGAAGATTAAAGAGACACCACTGAACCACTGATACCTCTTAACATGTACACACATATACTTACGCAGATACAGTCACACAGGGTACACACACACACACACACACACACACACACACCAATAATTTCACTTACCTCCTATTACAAGATTGTGAGTCCCCTTTCTTGGGGGAGCTGTGAGTTGCTATGGAGATGAGTGGGCATTGATATAGGATGGAGGGATGGGGGTGGAGTGGAGGGGGTTCTGAGATGGTTGGTGTGTACCTTCGGAGGCTTTCTTAAGGTCAGGGTTTTCTGACCTTTCACCCCTGACATCCACAGCCAAAGGGTAGCACACACACACACACACACACACACACACACACACACACACACACACACTGACCAAAGCAGGATTTGCTGGGTGCATTTGTTGTGTGTATGTTTGTGTATAAGTGAGAGAGAGAGAGTTACTTGACAGACCCTGGTGTGCAGCCCCAACTATGCTGTCATGTTGTCCCAAAGACATGATAATGTGAAAACAGACCGAGTGACTCTACTGAGCTGTTCTTTGGACATGTGAACAGGTGTCGACGGCACGATTGTGTACGTGTGCACTCGAATGTGTGTGTGTGTCTTTATCCTTCCCTCTACTCGCTGTATGCCAGAAGCTCATCACCAATTCCCTTCTGTTTTGGCAAACGCTTCTTTTTTTGCATTTCAGACATTGTCAAAACAGATGAAAGATGGCATCACCCCTTTAACCTTCCAGCAAGAGGAGAGACGGCCTGGCTGCATGCATATTTTAGTTCTTCAGCTTATTCATCCAGCTGTGGTTACATTTAACCTTCAGCACTAATAACGGTTTTAGTTCTGTTAGCCCTTAATATTTAAGTACCTGTGAACTTTAATGTTTTTAGTTGGGTTTTAGCGTGTGAACGGCAGTCTGTGAGAGTGTGTGTGTAAACAGATCTTAACTGTGAGACTGCTGTAAACCAGAGTACAATCCTTAGAGTACAGGACTAGCAAGGCTGGGTTACCAACAGACTCTCCAGGCTCACTTTGTATCAGCTGTAGGACAGAATCTAATTATGTTTGTTACCAATTAATTGCATTTTTCTTGAGTAATCATGTAGTGTACAAAATATGAGAAAGTATTTTTTTTAAAACGCTCGTCACTACTTCCCAGAGCTCTAAGGTGATATTCTAAAATTGTGTTTGTTCATTGAACAGTCCAAAACTCAAAGATATCTCATATACCATCATATACAAGCAGCAAATCCTATTTGAAAATCTGGAAGTAGTAGATGTTTGGCACCTGATGGGACTGATTCTCCATTATCAGAATAAACACCTTTTGATTGACTAATTGATTAAGTGATTAATTATGGCTGCAGTTTGATTACTTGCACATCTGATTAAGAATTTGTACTACTACAGTACAAAAAGATATGGAATTATTATGTACAGTATCTGTGGCCAGGTAGTATTCCAGTAGAAGACTACTGGTTGAATTATGTACAAAATGAAATGAAGGGCAACAGCACATTTTTGCTCCCAAACAAACCAGCCATGGGGACTAAACCCAAACTGTGAGCACAGAGTCCCAAGGTGACCTGGACTTGACTATGTGCTGTGAGCTCAACAGCCCTCTGGAGAAGACTTACTTGTCTTTGGCAGGGGATGAATGATGTATCTGTGAGTGTGTGTGTGTGTGTGTGTGTGTGTGTGCGTGTGACAGGGTGGGGACGGACGGTTTTACCTTACCACGGTGACATATTAGTGTTAGACTTACTTGAAAGAGAACGAGAAGACGTTACTGAAGTAGATTCTACTGTAAAGCAGATAGATCTCTCTCCTCCTGACCTCTACTTCCTGTATATCTGTGTTTTAATGCTTTGTCTCTATGCCAGTGGACTCACTCATCTCACTATGGCTGTACATGTGCCTTTTATTAAAGATCACAGAACCTGCACTGCTACTCGTGTGTGTCTGAACATAGAGCGGACAAATATAGAGCTGGCTTTGTCAGAACATTGTTTGGTGTAAATTATTCATTCAGTGCTCCAGTTATGAAATCTAGGTTCAATTTTAAAATCACGTGTGGATATTTCATTGAATTTGACAGGGAGAAGATGAATCAGTTAAGTACAAAATGAATCACTCAGTGTCTAAAACAATATCACACATCGGCCTATCAGTCATTTCTTTCATAAAAGTGAAAGTAGATTGATCACAGCTGCATCAGATGTTGTCTGCCTGAAGACTTAAAAGGGACAGCATTTTATATAATGCAATAGTCCTGTATGTCTGTTAAGACTCATTTGGTTTTGAGCTGTATTTAGTTGGATATTGATCTATATTTGAGTAGACATTTATGTGTCACAGTGGGAGAAGCACAGGTATAAATAATAAGATTAATCATGGCTGAATTTGATTAGCTGCTTCAGTCTGGGGGTCCTGGTGTTGTGCATGCTGGCCCACTGTCATGCTGTCAGGATGTAACTGGAACACTTGAATAGAACAGAGCCATCATTAATGTCGTTAGTAACACCTGTACTTTTTCTACTATAACATCAGAATGTCTGGCTGGGTGAGACAGGCCTTCGTCCATGCTGAGCTGAGGCAGGGTACTGGTCATAATAATACGCAGGTACCTGTAGGAAAATATTACAAACACAACTTATATTATTACTTTATTTCAACGGCTGAATTCTGGTGTCATGTTAAAAACTAAAATGTCTATAACTACCCAGTTGCTATAAATCATAACAGAGCAATATTTAACAACATCATACACAACTGCAAAAAAAAAAGAATGTGTGCTGTGAAAAATGTCCCGTGACGTCATTTTACACAGACAGAAAAAGAACTGAAGTGAATATTTGTCAAATGTATCTGTTACAATTTGATTAATCAATTAATCATTTGTGCACATTTTAAAGAAAAAAAGGCAAAAACTTCACGTGTTCCAGATTCACGAATGTGAAATGTACTGCTTGCCTTTGTCTTCTGTGATAATGAACTGATCATGTTCCGGGCAGTTTTTCCAGACCAAAACAATTAGAGCAATGGTGCACTATTATTAGTTATAATAGAAACATTTGTAGCTGCGTTCCTAGATAGAACAAAAAACTTCTGAATGCTGCAGCTCTTTAGCACAAAGGGTAAATTAACCATTGGTAAAAAGCCTGTATTGCTTGGACAGTGTACTAAGAATCTTTGAGCAGGAGGGGGCGTTACAGTCTCAATCCTCCAGTGGCTTAATAGGGTACAACTAGAAATGTTCTTTGCTATTTATACTGTATAATTCACGTTGTCATGTTTAAGTCACATTGACTTAAGTGTAAAAACCTAAAACCTCGCTATCTAGTCAAATAACAAAATTCAGACTGTGCGAGCATCTTAGTCTCCAAATAAAACCAAGACCTCCTAATACCAAATCCCCATAGAGTAGATGCCTACAAAATCCTTCACTGGCTTGTTGGTTATTCAGACATTCAGTGTTATCAAGTTCCCATTTATGGACTTGGTGCTAGGTTAACAACTCCTATCTGAGCATGCAAATCATGACTGTTTCTATTTCACATTACAAACAAAGTGTATCCTATAATGCAATTGATTTCTTGGTGTATGGATCTCGTGACAGCTGCATCCACTCCCATTAGCACCATTGGCAATACTAGAGGAAACAGAGCCAGGATGATATAGAAACGTGACCTCGTCAGTCCACTTTATTCTCCTCACACAGTGCATTTCCTTAAAACACAATATATAATTTACTATCAATATAAAACTCCATTTGTGTATATAAATTATGCATTCAATACAGCAGCTCTGATATATACTTTTAAGCTTTGGTACAGTGGTACATTTATGAATGTGAGTGGGTGCATGTTGTGTACATACATGCTTGTGATGTGATTGGACAGTGTGCCCTATGGGCATCGTCTGGAAGAAAGCGGGTGTAGGTGAGTGGGGAGAGGGAGTGTTTGTGTTAATTATGTGTGTGTACACATGCGAGTTCACACAGGAACCAAAGTATCGTCACTCCATCCGTCAAGGCAATCATCAGTACTGTGCATTCCAGGCCTGGGCACTAAGGTTGGTGCAGCTAGGAGGATGGCAGCCACTGTGGTGGGAGGGCAGGGGCACCACGCAGCAGTAAGCTGCCTCCCCACCTACCCCACTCCCAACTTTACTCTGGGAGTTGGACAGTGAAACACCTCCCTGCAGAAACAGAGAAAAGACAGAACACTGCAGTGAAGAATTTGCCACTACAAGTACTTTGTGAAGTGCTTAAACACAACCTTTGGGGGTTGACTTGTTCAAGTTTGATAAAGAATGACACCTTTGGGTGCTCTGTGTTTACCTGAACCATGCTACACTGATGAGAGGCCATTGGTGAGTAGGTCCCCAGCACAGCCTGGGCTTGGGAGGGGGAAGACTGCTGTAGCCCCACAACAGGGGCGTAACCTGCCTCAAACACACATGTATATAAGTGATTATTAACAACATATTTCATCACTGCAATTTCGCAAAAGAAAGCCACAAGAGTGTTTTAGTTATTTTAGAACACATTAGGAGGCAGTGTGAAGAACAATGTTGAGCCTGACACAGACCATTAGCAAACCAGTCTGAAATAAGGAGAACCAAATGCTTCAGAAACTGTTTATTCGTTAGTATGTAAATATCAAAATTCATCCATAAAACATTTGTACGTTATGAGCAGAACAGTAATTTTATATATGTATATGTGGTTGGATACATTTTAATTTATTCATTCAGTATTTACACTTTTATCTAAATTAGCAATATCAAAAAATAAAAGAGAAAAAATAATGGATGATGGAGTCATTTGCATTTCTGTTCTGATTTTTGGTTTATTGCCTAGAAGGTGTTGAGTGATATTTGCAGTGTTTCAAGTGAATGTGCTAATTAAGAGCTGAGAACTGAGGATGCAGCAATCTGTCATATATTGGAAACATCCTATTCTGTATATATGTTGAAATCTCTTTTTTAATCGCTGTGATGAATAGAAGCAGCAGGAAAAGAGACCGGTTCACTGTGAGACCCTCAGACTACATCTCTGACAGTGTAACGGCCCCCTCCTCTACTGCTGCAGTCTCTGACTCTCTCTCTCTCTCACACACACACACACACGCACACACACAGGAAGTACCTGCTGGTTGTGCTACTTGGCTGTGGAGGTGCTGGCTGGGTGAGACAGGCCTGCATCCATGCTGAGTTGAGGTAGGGTACTGGCCATAATAATACACAGGCATCTGTAGGAAAATATTACAAACACAACTTATATTATATTATTACTTTATTTCAATGGCTGAATTCTGGTGTCAGGTTAAAAATTGAATAAATGTCTATACACTGCAAAAACAGACCTACTAGAAAGAAGCAAAATATTCTTAAATTAAAACAAATAATCTTGTATCAAGCAAAAAAATCTGCCAATGGGGTAAGATTTTTTTGCTTGATACAAGATTATTTGAAAAATGTGGAATATTGCCAGTCTCGTCCTTTCTATTGACTTGTTTTCTGACCTTGTACCTGGTTTTGTTGGTTTTTGGAGTGTTGATCCACGTCAGTGTTTGATTTTTATTTATTTTAAATCTGGCAATGGGGTAAGATTTTTTTGCTTGACAAGAATTCTTAAAAGTTAGCCATACTTTCTTAAAATGAAATTATTTTTCTAATGCAAACCATCCTTGACCAGACAAATTTTCTTTCTGGACTTAAAATAAGACTTATTTCCTTGATACAAGGCTTTTTACTTTCTTGAAATTCCTTTTTTGCAGTGTAACTACCCAGTTGCTATAAATCATAACAGAACAATATTTAATACATCATACACAACTTCAAGTTGATTGTTTCATGTACTGGATGTCATGATAAACAAAATCTGTGTGTGTGTTTACCTGAGGTGAGGGCTGGCAGTAGCTAGTAGGGTTGGCAGGAGGAGGAGGAGGGGGAGGAGCTGCATAGATGTAACCCTGACTGGGAGGGTAGAGGGGCGGTGCTTCAGCCAGTGATGGACAGCTCACCGTCACATGAGCGAACCGCGAGGAGAGATCTTCAGTCTTTCGGAAAGAAGGTAAGACACGCACATGGATGACCACAGACATGTGACACATACTGTAAACACACAAGCGGTTGTCAGCCTTGCTGTGATACATACTGTTGTGTACGGCTGTGAGGGAGTGACAGGCAGCATCTGTGGGGCTGTGTAAGAGACGGACGAGTACTGAACCATCTGAGAGAGACACACATATGGAGTCAGAGATGAAGACACAAACATTTGCATGCATGTATGTCGACATATCGTTCTGCTGTGTGTGTGTGTGTGTGCTACCTGCTGCTGTTGCTGCTGAGTGGGAGAGCCTTGCAGCTGGGTCTGGCTCCTGATTGTCTGCTGAACGTCCGGAGGGTTGTACACAGCAGGGGTTCCGTCAGGATTCAGGAAAGGCTGCCCTGAGAGGTTGAACAGTTGAGTATGATAAGTGTGTATGTGTTGTGTGCTAAAATCTCTCTGGTTTATGTCTGAGTCTTATGTACCAGTATGTGGGTTCACTAATATGCTTCCTGGAGGGATCCCATTCTCCATGATGTAGGTAGAGCTGGGAGTCAGCTCTTCAATGACGGGAGGAGAGGAGGCGTGGGGACAAGTGGGTGGCAGCCTGAACAAAGCGATGGAGCCTGAGAGATGAAAGAGTTAAGAGGGAATGGAAGAGCAGAGATGAGAAAATGAATGGCAAGAGTAGAGAAGACAACGCAAGAACACAACAAATTCACATTTCAACATCTTGAACAAGCCACACACAGCACTCCTGTCTGTGCTGAAATCGTACTGCATGCAGCGCCACAGTGCAGTCTCTGCAATGACGTATTTTTCTTCCTGAATATGTGAAGATGACTGGAGGTGTTGTGTGAAAATTTGCACCTATGGTGTGAAGATTCATGGATTGAGTTAAATTTTCACACCAGAAGAACTTCCACTGCTTTTTGTTAATTTGACACTACTGAATAAAGAACCGATAATTTATAAACAGTGATTTTCCCAAGTGTGGTGTGGTGATGTCTGCGAATAAGTTTATTTGCACACAGGTATAGAGGAGTAAAGTCTTACCCTTGGGGACTGAATTCACACCCTGATGGTGTGACATAACAAGTGTTAAAAAGTGAATAATTGTTATTCTGACGCAAGGTATAAAAAAACACACCTGAACCTCGTGCTTCCCAGCTGCGGCTTGCAGACTGATGGGGTTTCAGGGCGGGGCCTGCCCACTGGAAGGAAGAATCAGAGTCGGTGCTGCTCCAAGGTCGGGGGTCATTGCCATAGCGACAGTCGATCTCAGTGCTGCTCTGCCTACTGCTGCTTGTCCAGCTGGAGCCTGAGCTGTCACGGCTCGCCCTGTGAGACATCCACAATTATCCTACAACTGTATGACTGCCTATGAAGCGCACCATTTGTGGAAACTGGAGACAAAATTGGCTTCCACACCTGTTAAGGTGCCTCACGTAATGATGCACTGGAAGTTTTATGCGACATTTATTGACATAATATCAATAAAGACTTTCCTTCAATTATTTTCATTTAAGATTGCCAAGAATCCCAAACCCTGACACAGACACATGCAAATACAAAGAACAAAATCTAGGTCCTCTTTTTGTTGCCGCTGCAGACTCTGAAAAGCTCTGTGCCAGCCAGGCTGACCAGATTAAGATGATAAATGACTACGCATCTGTGCAGACAGAGCTGTACCTGAAGAGCTGCCTTCTCCTTTGGGTCTCAGCATATGGATTGTACTCCTCCACAGCCCTGCGCGCACACACACGCACACAGAGAGAGAGACATATATTAATGTACTATCTAAATATAATAAGCTGAAAAGGCACATGGAGGAAAAAAACACTGCAGGCAAGGTTACCTGGTTTCTGCATGGGTGCTCTCTTGGGGGCAGAGAGGCTGTAACAGAACAACAAAAAATGAGTGAGTCTCTTCTATGTCTCTATGTCATATCTCTCTATCTTCCCAAGTCTCCATCTCACCTCTTTGCTAAAGATTCGCTCTCGTGCTCGTTGGTACTCCTCCTCCCTCTCCTCCACTGACTTGCTTTGCTTCTCCCGTAAGGGGTGGAGTCGGGTCTATAAGGAGAGAAACGAGAGCAGGTCAAAACACCGATAGGATTCGATCAATGTGGATTACAGAGGAAATTCCAGAGAGATAAGCAGCTATAGATAACCTGGTCATCCGAGTGGTTGTTGTCTCTCTTTAAAATGATCTTCCATCGGTGGATATCTTCTGTCTTGTCCTTATGCACCTTGTCCAGAAAGCGCTGCTCTGGTCTTAACAAGCAAACAAGTAACAACCTTTGTTACTTCACACTAAAAGGCAAGGATTTACATGCACATACTCAAAGACCTGTTAAGCGTGCGTACATGCGTGTACTGCTGGTCCTGTTGATGATGACAGACTTGCCTGTCTGGTCTACATTGTGATCCATGCCAAAGTAGGCTGCCACCCGGTGGACCAGCATTCGGTGGTAAGATGACATGTGAGGGAACTTCTTATAGGGACTGAGAGAGAGATAGAGACAGGGGAAAATGTGGGAAGAGAGAGTGAGTTACAGGAGGGAAAAAGGAGGAGCCAGGGAGAGGGAGACAGTGACAGAACGACAGAGTGATGAAAGAAAGTGGGAAGGATGAAGGTGAAAGTGAAAAAGAGATGGAGGGAGGAGAGAGCAGGGGGTGACATTTTTTGGCTTAAGTCCAATTTCATCCCCAGTGACTCAAACACTAACATGCCTGGTTCACTATATTGATCAATACACTAAATAAGCTGTATGGACAGAAAAGTAATATTTGAGCTGAAAACATTTTAAATTAGCATAAAAGTGGGTGTAATTTTTAATAGAACTTCACCTGCATAAAAGTTTCAGCACCTTTAAATAGGTAGAGTACATTACCCAAGGTTATGCTCTCCTTCACATGCACGCACGCACACACACACATGCAAACCTATTGCTAGCGATGAAGTCGATCATGTCCTGCTCCAATTTAAGCAGCATCATGCGGTCTCTGGGGTTGCTGTTGAGGGTGGCGATGATGAACTGGTGCAGGTCTATGCCGGTGGAGTCGGTGTACTCCACACTGGACTCTGACAGCGACAAGCAGGATGTGTTACGAGACAATAAAAACAAAAATACATAAGGCACACTGCAATATGAAACACCTCGGGAAAACTACATCTAAATAGTAGCACTGAATCTCATTTTATTACATTTTATTTGTTTTTTCTTGTCTCTCTTTTATGAGCTCTCAAACACACACACACACACACACACCTTTGGACAGTGAATGTTTCTTTGGATCTGTGCCCTTCTCCTGCTCTTCATCCTTACAGGAAGTTCTCTCGTTGTCATGGCAGCTAGATGAGATGTTTGCATCTGGAGATGTCTGAGAGGGAGCAAAAATAAAGAGTAATTTGAGTGTGGTGGCGGTGATGATGATGAGGTGGAGGAGGCGGATGATGATATGTGTACGTGTGTGTGTGTGTGTTACCGGGGTTTCGTCAAACGGTGAGGACTCTTCGCATACAGCCATACTGCGCACCAACTTTCCTTTGGTCTGAAACACACACACAAGCAACATTACATAGAGTGTAATGCAATCGATTTTTCAGTAGGAATGAATAATGCCAGACAGAATAATTTCAGCTTACCTTAACTTTTTTCTTTGGTTGCACCTGGTTACAGAGTTTCTGCAAGTAAGGACACAATTTGTCAAAAAAATGAGCATGCAAGGAGAGGTGGCGGCGGGAGGGATGCATAATTTTAATGTGGTACATTATTAATTTGGTGCACAACAGTGGTTCACTTTAGTATTACTTGCCTGCTGCTCCAGCTTCTTCCTGTCATGGTGACACCCATCATCCTCCCTCTGAGTGCAGAGGGACATTAATGGTGGGGAGGTGGGGCAGCTGATGACATCACAAGACATCACATCACTGGGTGTTTGGAGGACCTCTGCACTCTCTACAGCTGCTTCGGTCATCCTTCTAACAACACACGTGCTTTCAGGATGTTTGGCAACCCAAACAAAGCCAGCATTTGTATATTTTACTGCTATGTAAAAAAAAAATCTTCCATCCTGCATTTGCATGAGCCTGTGTGTGTATATATGTGTGTGTGTGTGTGTACACTGTTCCTACCTATCTGGAGTTGTTTACTGGAGAGCCTCACAGGTGAATGATGAGGTCATATATCCCATGTTCCCACAGGGCAACCAGAAACACAATTATCCTCTTTGCCCGTGCTCACCTTCTCCACTGTTCCTCTTTCAGCCAGCCCTTTACTGGTCTATTGAAATTCACCTGAAGACATAAAAAAAACACAGAAGTTAAAAGTGTTTGGGGTCACTGCACAACAGAAATGCCTCTCACACAAATACACACTCCTATCAAACAGTTGCCAGAGCATAAAAGCATAGCTGCTGGAAATGACATCAAGTAGCTAAGCCCAGCGGACACTCAGTGTGTGTCTGTGTGTGTTAACTTCTGTCTAGGCTTCTGAAAAGCTCTCCTGGCTTCACACTTAATTGCTGCTTTAAGTGTATTAAGGTAAGTGCACCGGTGCATCTGTGACGGTAGCATATAAGACGTGGTATTTTCTTGTGTATTTACAAGTGTGTAGCTCATGCACAAGCCTGTCTGATGGGTGTGTGTGTTTGAATGTGTCCTCGAGCTTTTCTTAGAAACAGCAGCTGTGGAGAGTATCATCCGATCCGCCAGCACTGATACTCCCTGAATGCCAAGCTGAGCCTCTGATGCCAGTGGTGAGAATATTGTCGAGACCAAAGAGAAAGACGCACACACACGAGAGGAAGTGGCATTCCACCATCTTTTCCAGAGGGCCAACTGTGTCCAGTGGGAACGCATTCCACTGTACCAGAGCTCAAGGGGACGCTTATTCCTGTAACACCTGGGCCAGAATAACGAGCTCAGAGGATGGTTATTTAACACCCGACTGGAGATCATAGCAGTTTTTAAAAAAAGACTTCTGTCAGTCTGTGTGCAACTGAAGTGATGTTTATTTCTCACACCGCCTCAATGAAACACAATACATAACAGCAATGATTCCACCCAGAAAAAATATTTTTAGTGTGGTAAAGAGGCATGCGAAATCTTTGCATGTGTTGATGTAGAACTGTATGATGTGAATTTGATATGTGTCCCTTTATAATTATTCGATTTAGAACGTATTAAGCATGATAACAAAATCCTGTAGTGGTGTGATAAATGTTTTTACTGATGTATAAAGGTAGTTGTATACTTGTACTGATCATTATTCCACTTGTACTAAGACCACTTTCCAGAGAAAACAGGCTGATGAGACAGCTCTTTGAGAGGGATTATAAGAAGCAGTACTGCTCACAATGTAGGCAAGATGTAATGCTTATTAGTAGGTCGATGGACAAAAGATCAAATGTAGGCAAGATGTAATGCTTATTAGAAACATCGAGAGGTTAATCAAGTTGGTCGATGGACAAAAGATCGGAATTATTTTTGTAGTTTTACACAAAAATTACACACGTCCTGGATCTAGTTTCTCAAATGAGAAAATTTGCTGCTTTTCTTTGTCATAAAAAGCTAAGTTTGAAAACATCACTTTATGATTTGCAATGCAGTTTTTCCCCGTTGTTCTTTGACCAGACAGTAAATTGGGGAAAAAAAAACCCCAATAATGAAAATACTTGTTAGGTGTGGTTCTTCTATTTAGTAGAGCAGCAGAACTGTTACAGTCTATGTACTGCTATAGACCATCTGCAGCTCTGTCCTGGCATGGCGGTCTACTGCAGCTCAGGACAGACGAAACAGTGCGGAGAAACACTCGAAACCACAATAACTGGGGAGGCTCCCTGATGTGCTGTTGGCAGGTTCTTGCTGAGGTGCACTTTAACCAAACACACCGGCTCCATGTCAGATACACTGCAGCTGACCCCGACCTCGGACCACACAAAGGTGGGGGCAGGGGAAAAAAATCATCACAACCATAGAAAAAAATTTGAGTAAAATAAGAGCTAGCCTGCTGGTATTGGACTGTATTAGAGTTGGGCAGCTATCAAATCAAATCAAATCAAATCAAATGTTATTTGTATAGCGCCAAATCACAACAAAAGTCATCTCAGGACACTTTACAAAGTAAGGTCTAGACCTTACTGTTATCCATATTATTACATAGGGAAAACCCAACAAATCCCCCTTGAGCAAGCACTTGGCGACAGTGGGGAGGAAAAACTCCCTTACCATGCAGGTTAAGATTCACTCAAATACAGTAAATAATTTTAGCCCACTTTACCACACTCTTATGGACAGCCATGCACATCACCATATCGCTGTGACCCCCATACACTTGCAGGCAGTCATGGGACTAGGGGGGGAAAAAAAGAAACAAACAGTCCACAATTAAAACCTATATAAAAACCGGACACACATGAAGATTCAGAAAGAGATGTAGTTTAAAATAAAATAAATTAAGAGTGATTTAAAAATGTTAAAATAAAACTAGACCTGATTAGTTGTTTCTGACTACAGAGAAAGCAAGATGAATGGGGGGCAATGTAGGCAGGGGATGAAGAGAGATGAGGAAGCAGTCTGGTGGGACTTTAAAGGTGAGGAGAGGTGAAGGAAGGCGACAGAGAAAGAGGGGAAGAGAGGAAGCAGTGATAGAGAGGCACAGTGATAGAGTGTCACGGTCCGTCTCTGGGCTTTTCAGCCAACGGCCGTGAAGAGGGGATTTGAGTGGAGCTACCAGTTTTTGAGCTGATCACTGCAGAAGCGGCCGGCCGCCCGGGGAGAAGGTGTGACACGATCATTAGCGCGTGACGGATGGCGGCGGGAGACAGGGAGCGCCAGTACCAGCTACATCATCATCCATCTGCTGTTCTCCCTGAAGCCTTGAGCCTTGGAGCCACTTACTCACCAGGACACCTTTTTTTCTCCAGCCAAAAGTTGCCTGGCTCATGCACACTGACACACAGACAGGCCAGTCGGAAAACATCCAAAAGCTACTTTAGATGACCACTGTCAGCTGAAGCAAGGCACACTAAGTCCTTAAGCCTTTACAGTCCTGTTTGTAATTAAGACCACTGAAAAAATCCAGGTTTGAATAATTATCAGTGGTTGCTGTATTGTTTAACACTGAGGACCTACTGTACTGTTTTGCTTGGGCTTATTATCCCATTCTCTTCACTTGCAGACATTTCCATGTACATTTTGCTATCTCTGAGGACATTCATGCTTCAAGAAAACCTATAAAATCTAGGCAGCATCATCGCCTGTGGTCACAGAAGCGGCTGTTTGTGTTTTGTCCCTGAGGTTTTAGCTGAATTTAAAAGGGGATTTCACATCTTCTCTCCCTCAGCTCAGAGCTCATTAGGAAGTGATTCAGCAAGAGACACAAACTGAGAGAAGAGGTCTCCCTGGTTTAAAATAATAATTGAGAATTGTGAGGCAAACCCTGAACCTTTAATGCTTTGTTTATTCATAATGTGCACAGGCTCTGTACCCAAGTTGCTAATTGAGCTGCTTTTGTTTACCCTCTTACATTATATAGGGTATTCTGTCTTACCTTTTTTGTTTGTTTATATATAATGTTAGATCTTGTGTGCTTCAGCAGGTTTTATGCAATCTCCTTGAATATATGCAAGTCAAATAAAATTACTTCGCCCTCCACTTTAAAACAAGCAAAGAACAGAAAGTAGGTTACACGTGTGAAATTTGGGTTACATCGCAGCACCTGGTCACCCAGTGCAGCCTTGACACTGACGCGACTTGTGGGTGCGACAGCTGCGCTGTTCTGCAGGGGAAAGTACCTGGACAGGCGCAGCGCGGCGGGCTACGGCGCCAAGAAGGCTTGTTAACATGCTACTTGACAGAAAACCACGCTTCTTGGACATCATGGCTGTGTCGCAGCGGTCACGGATGTAAACGGAGGATGCGGTGAGCTGGCTACAACAAACAGGTGTCACCTTCATGCACAACTTTGTAGCATCCTGTAACAAAAGAGTGCTCCATCGCGGGGTCTAGGCTCTACTTTCAGGATGGAACCCAGTCGGTGTTGGATGGTTGAATAAACAGAATCGGTGGGAGCCTATCTCAAGGCGTGCGCGCGCGTGTGTGTGCCTGTCTCTGTGTGTCGCATTATCGTGAACCATGCTAAGCGGACTATTTTTACACCCGGGCAGGGAGTGGACCTCCTGCTCCGGGACCTCACCGTGCTGTCAGCTGCATGCGGAAAGCAGAGGATGGCGGACGAAGGGCGAACAGCAGGAGTATTACTATGTACTCAGTACTACAGCTGCTAACAGAAAGCCACTTTGACAACTTAAATCACATCTAACTCACATTTCTAAACACTCACAACACAAACAAGTAACCAGAAATACAAAGAGAAACAGCAGCAGCTCTAAAATCCCAGCTGAAATCCCGACTAACCTCTGAATATAAGTCAAGCTAAACATGTAAAGCTACACTGTGTTTATTTACAGGCTACAACACATTTACTGGCTCCTTACCATTCATTCAGCGGTGTCGCTACCGTCACAGAGCCCGGGGGAGATGCGACTGGTAGCGGCGCGCTCCGGCGCGCAGGTAGCTAACGTTAACAGATCTAATTGAGTCAGCCGTTTTCACAGTGAGATTTCGGCTAAAAAAATCTTTTACCACCCTAACTCACGATTAAAGTACTACCAGGAATGTTGACAACAGCAGCAGAAGACAGCAAAAAGCATCTATGTCAACCAGCGGAGTAACCGTTGATCAAGCTAATCGAGGAAATGAGCACCTGTCGCCGCGGTCAGTGACCGTTATCTTACCGTGAGCTGATGTTTGCCTCCCTCCCTGAGCTGGTTCCGACGTAGCGTACCGACCGAAACACCACCGTACACCCTGGAATCTGTTGACTGTGAGGTCCGTTGGTCCTCCTCCGCCTTTTGCCTGTCTCTGTCAGAGCAGGAGGAGCAGGGGGAGGAGGAGGAGGAGGGACGACAGCTCTGAACCCTGAGCCACGCGCCCACACACGCGCGAGGAATGCACGAGAGCCAGGCCCCCACCAGCTGTCTGTCTCCGTCCGTGTCTCTCGCTCTCCCATGCTGTCTGTCTCTCTTTGTCCTCCATCTCGTTTCAGCTCAGTTTCTTTTACTACTGCAGTTACTGCAATCATTTCTTCACCACCTGCGGAGACACAACAGACATTCCCCCGTTAACAAATGCAACGAACCCTTAGGATGCTATTATGTACCGTTTAGTGCAGTATGTAAACTGTAGTCTAATATACTTACTAGGAGTATTAACTCCACAGACAAGGCAGTGTCCCCTCTACTGCATAGGGGCACGACTCCCAGACTGAAAGAGACATTTATGCTCCTACTCTGTCCCTTTGTGGTTGTTTGACATCCCTTTGTTAGAATTTTGCATCCCTCTGCTGCCATTTTGGGTCCTGTTGAGGTCATTGTGTGTGGCTTTTTTTTTCTTCTTTTTGGTTGTTTGCATCTCTTTGTGATGCTTTTACATCTGTGGTGGTTTTGTGTTTTTTTGTTGTGTCTGTCATTTTGCATCCCTTTATGGCTGTTTTGTCATCTTTCTGTGTCCTTTTGTTACAGTTTGGCTTCCAATTTTGCGACCATTTTGCATCCCGTTGGTGCTTTTTCTTGTGCAGTCATCTTGCATACCTTTGTTGTCCGTTTGTGTCTAGTGAGGATCATGTTGCAGCCCTTTGTGGTTGTTTGCATCTTTTGTAATAAGTTGGCATCTGTGGTGGTTTTGTGTTCTTTTGTGGTGGTTTAGGTTTTTACTTGATGGATCTATAGTTACTTTATGCATCAAGATTCCACAAACAAAAAGCATGAAGCACTATTATAGATTGAACTACCCATTAGTCTATGAAGTTGCCAAAAGCAAAACGCTGCCTACACAATCTCAGTAAAGTCATCGTACAGTGACACTTACATCGGCAGTTTGTAAGGAGTATTTTAAAACTGCATTATTGCTAATTTTACTTAAAAGAATTTGAATTCTTCATCTATCACTAATTTTACTTAAAAGAATTTGAATTCTTCATCTATCACTATTCTTACTGTATGTATTAGAATAATAAATGAACAAAGACTGTACTCTTTGAAAGCACAGTCTTTTTAATAAAGGAGAGGTTTGCGACGCCTCTCATCTCATCTCATCTCTAACCTAGAGACCTGTCATTAATCCTGAGGATCAGGAACCATATTCAGATTTAAATTTTTTTGTTATTTGTATTCAATATTTATAAAACTGTGAATGCCACTTTAATTTTAGGTACTAGTCCAATTTGATTTGTCAGTAAATATCCACCCACCTCCAGGTTACAGTAAATACTGCAGGGAAGCACAAAGCCACATTAAAATGTGATCAATATATTAATAACACAAAGTTATAGTGTCAAAAATGTTGCAGTATATAATTAAGGCATTTCTTGTAATAATCCATGTGTACTGCATATACAACATGCCATAGTTTATATGCACCATATATTTTCTATAGATTTTACAATACATAAAAAAAATCCACAGAACTACAGTATACAATTTAAAACCACATTAAATTACAGGGATTAGCACCATAGACATGTTGGCAATCTGTTATAAGGTGAGAAAAAAAATCTAGACGGTCTATTATGTCAGAGTTGAGTTATTTTACTCTGATGCATAGCAAGTACAATTCTGCCCACTTGTTATAGTCTATTCAGGGGTAAGAGAAAGATCTCTCTGTCTCTCCCTCTCCCTCTCCCTCTCTCTCTCTATTCTTGTGTTATTTTCTAATAGACAACTGGGTGTTTTTTAAAAATGTTTATATATATATATGTATGTCTGTTTGCACTGCCCATCAGGTAGAACAAGTACTCAATCACCAACCTAGGTAAACGTGTCAGCCACAGTGTAAAAATTGTTTATTACAAGTAAAGGTTTATTTCAAACTGATACTTAAAAAGTACAGAATTGCATAAACTATTGAAAACTATTGATTTTGCTGAATGACCAGTGTTAGTGCTATATTATTGGATCATTTTCTTAATTAACATGTGAGTACTGAAATATTGTAGTGACTCCAGCTAATTTGAACCTCTTTGTGCACTGATAGGAGATTAATCTGTTAAAATGCATCATGTTTTAGGTCAAGGTCAAAGGTCAAAGTGTTTGTCATATGAACAGTTAGGAAACATGTTTCCCTGTACAATGAAATTCTTACTTTGCTGTCCACATGAATGCCACACTATACAAGTGAAATATAAAGTAGATGAGTAATAACAAATCTAAATAGGCAGAAACACAAATCTAAGGCACTTTAAAGCAGCAAGTGAGAGAAGCACAATAAAAATACAAGAACACAATATAATGCAGAGAGAATATATGCTACATGGGAGCCGTGAAGTGCAAATACTCAGCAGTGAGTGTGCAACTATGCATGTGCAAAATGAGTATGTAAACAGTACAGATAGAATTACATGAGATGAGATCCTGAGTCAGCTGTTTAGGAGTCTGATGGTAAATGGTCTTATACTTGTATAGCGCCTTTCTATGCTTTTACAGCACACTCAAAGCGCTTTCATATTATTCGGCCATTCACCCATTCGCACTCTCAAGCACTCATGCATTCACACACCGGTGACATCACCGGGAGGACACTTCAGCATGTTGACTGGACAAGCCGGGAATCTAACCGCTAATCCTCCGGTTATGAAACAACCTGCTTTACCTTATGAGCCACAACTCAGCTGTGGTATGGTACAAATGTTATTACAAATGTAATGGAATAAAACATTATTTCTCTCTAAGATTTAAAACAAGTTTAAAAAAGAAACACTAAGCCCAAGTGTGTCCAAACTGTACTTACTATAAGTACAGTACCTGAGTAAATGTACAGAGGTACTTTGACTAATGATGATGACTAGCAAACAAATTCCAGGAATTTGGAGAAGGATCACAGCCTGGACTTTAGAAATGCTGAGAATATGCATCCAAGTTATGAAGTTTGGGTAGATTTTGGTCAAGAACAAGCATGTGTAATATCTGTGTATATGAAGAAAAGCAGGTCAGATTCACTCAAATATTCCAGAGTACGAGCCCTTAGTGTCCTCAGCAGTAGCTACAGTCCTGGGCAGGGGACGCAGTGTCTTTTATCACCATGTCTGCTTGCACTTACCGTAGGTTACACCACAACAGATGCAAGTAATATGGTATCTTGTTACATGGCTGACATCGTGTTGAATGTTACCAAACCTTATATCACTATCGCAGCCAGGTCTGTTTTAGAAATACTCAGGTCGTATATCAAGGTTAGGGATAGCTGCAGTCCTGATTTCAGCCATACTTCACAAATGGTATATTCAAGTAGGGGTATGGTTGGATAAACCTTCGTGTGTCCTGGGGCAAAAGAGCTGTTGGATCCCTGTGTAGCTCCAGTGTATAGAGTTTTTATGGAGTAATACTAGCTGGCCCCAGATTTAGTCTGTGGTAATTTGATTAAACACATTAATCTAGAAACAGGGAACATAAAAACTGGAAAGGAACTGAAATGGGAAGTTAAGATTTAATTTTGACACAGGGACTTGGTAATAAAGCAGGACCTGCCTTTATGGTCTTACAATGCCAGTAGATACCGTGTTTCAGCGGTGCAGCCCAGGTTAAATATCAGTTTAATTGGCACAAACCAACTGATACACAGACTTTTCCCCCAGGTACAGGTGCCTAATTTTCCCAGCAGTCCAGCCTTGATCTGGGGTCTTTACTAGTTACAGAGTTAGTACTTTAGTTCCCCCATAATAATAATTTCTTGGCGTTGAGCACCTACATTCTGCTTTATTAGAAAAATCTATCTATGCCATTAGTGTTACAATACATAGCCCTGTAAGGCAAATTAAGGTTTGGACTGGGTTAAGGTAATTCTCACTCCAGTAACTGGAAATCCATCATTACCATTGCTTAATTGTTTCTCACACTATAGCTTCACCAGCATGCAAGTTCTGTCTCTTTGACTCAGCTAGATACTGTAAACTTTCTGCAAATATCTCCTACACATTGCTGTGCATCAGCAACTATGTACACACCCACATAACACATTTTAAAGGTCTTTATCTTCCGTTTTTAGCATGCCATGCTTGTAAACAGGGACTGTTGAGTCCTAGCCTCATTTCTATAATGATTAACAATTTGATTTATGAAAGCATGAGACCAAATGGGAGAATGAACAGGTAGACTGGAGCATCAAGTCTTGAGGTCTTCAGGAGATTCATTCTTGTTCCATTAATTCTAGTCTCATTCAGTTCAGTCACCCACAGACTTTATTCAAAGACAAAAATTACACAAGACATAACCCGAGATCTCTCCAATATGTGATAAATGTAGCCTGGAGGAGGCAAACCTTCTTCTCAGCTTCACCCTTTGTCCCAAGAGAGAAAATTACTGAGGCGAATGTTTAAAACACTGTCTGAAGGAGTTAAAATCTATATTAAACCAGACCCACTTTCAGTGGTTCTGAGAATCTCAGGGCTGATTTCAGCATTGTAAAAGGACAAAACAATAAATTCTTTCTTTTTGTGTAACAGCTAATAGGAATGCTCTTATGCAGTGCATGAAAAAGTCACATTACTGTAAGTCTCAGTGAATTAACCAACACCTTGAACGCTGAAGCTTCTTGTTTATGGACACACTTTTAGAGTTTAAGAACAGGCAGCCGCTCATCTCTTACCTAGACACATTAAACATTTATCCTGTAAATCAAGAGCTGTACTGAGATTTGAATTCCTTTGTTATTCTTAAGTTGAA